CGCCGAGCTGGAGGACGTCGCTGTGGCCGTCGACGTAGATCGTCGACGACGCGTAGGCGTCGATCTCGGCGTCGACGGACGCGTAGTCCGCCTCGGCCGATATTTCGAACATCGTCGCGCCGTCGCTCGTGAACGTCGCCGCGCCCGCGAACAACACGTCGCCCCCGAGCTCCGCGCGGCCCGCGGCGCCGACGTCGAAGTAGGCCTCGCCGTCGACGCGGCACGCGAGCGCCGCGTCGCCGCGCGGCGCGTCGCCCGCGTCGCCGTCCGCGGTCCCGCGCAAAAAGAAGCGCTCGTCGTCCATCCACGTCACCGTCATCTCCGCGGCGACGTCGTCGGCGCCGTCGAGGGCCACGGCGCCCGACAGCGCGAGGTCCACCTCCTTGAAGCCGTCGACGCGGACGACGAGCGCGTGCTCGCCCGAGAGGCCCGCGAGCGCGTCGTCGGCGCCGCGGCGGTCGTCGCCCTCGAGCGTGGCCTTGACGTAGAACGTCTCGTCGAGGCCGTCGGCGAGGCGCAGGAAGCCCTCGACGTCCGCGTGGTCCTTGTCCTCGTCGACGTAGAGCGAGCCGTCGACGGCCGTCACGGAGAGCTGGAGGTCGTCGCTCGCGCGCATATGGACGCGGCCGTCCGCGTGGGCGCCGCGGTCCAGGGACCCGGCGACGAAGACGTCGATGTAGAGCTCCTCGGTGCCGTCGGGCAGCCACCAGGTCAGGTTCCAATCCACGGACGCGTCCTCGAAGTCGAGCGCGAAGCTCGACGCGAGCGAGCCGTCCTCGTCGACGGCGCGGTCGAAGAGCCGCAGCTCCAGGTTCGCCGTCACGCCGAAGGCGAACTCGCTTCCGCCGTCGTCGTCGCCGTCGTCGCCGCCGTCGTCGTCGTCGCGCCACCGGTCGTCGTCCTCGTCGGAGTAGTGGAAGGAGTACGAGCTCGAGCCGTCGCACGGCGTCCACGTGCAGACCTTGCCCGGGTCGCCCTGCACCTCCGCGGCGTTGAGGCAGTCGTCCTCGGTGTACAAGTTGCCGCACCCGGAGTCGCCGTCGCACGGCTCGCAGTCGTCCGACCCAGTATCGTCTCCCTCCTCGTTCTCGTCCTCGGCGTCGCACGGCGTCCACGTGCAGACCTTGCCCGGGTCGCCCTGCACTTCCGCGGCGTTAAGGCAGTCGTCCTCGGTGTACAAGTTGCCGCACCCGGAGTCGCCGTCGCATGGCTCGCAGTCGTCGGAGTAGTCGTAGGAGTAGGAGTAGCTCGAGCCGTCGTCGCGCCACCAGTCGTCGTCCTCGATCTGCGCGTTCGTCGGCGCGACGGGTGCCGCCGTCGGAGTGACGGGCGCCGCCGTCGGGGTGACGGGCGCCGCCGTCGGAGTGACGGGCGCCGCCGTCGGAGTGACGGGCGCCGCCGTCGGCTCGGACGTCGGCCGCGGCGTCGGCGCGAACACGGGCGCCGCCGATGGGTCGCCCGGGAGGCGCGTCGGCGCCGGCGTCGGAGCCGGTACCGGCGTCGGGGTCGGGGCCGGAATCGGCGATGTCGTCGGCGCGAACACGGGCGCGGCCGACGCGTCGTCGTTGTCTTCGTCGTCGTCGTCGCACGGCGTCCACGTGCAGACCTTGCCCGGGTCGCCCTGCACCTCCGCGGCGTTGAGGCAGTCGTCCTCGGTGTACAAGTTGCCGCACCCGGAGTCGCCGTCGCACGGCTCGCAGTCGTCTGAGTAGTCGTAGGAGTAGGAGTAGCTCGAGCCGTCGCACGGCGTCCACGTGCAGACTTTGCCCGGGTCGCCCTGCACCTCCGCGGCGTTGAGGCAGTCGTCCTCGGTGTACAAGTTTCCGCACCCGGAGTCGCCGTCGCATGGCTCGCAATCGTCGGAGTAGTCGTAGGAGTAGGAGTAGCTCGAGCCGTCGCACGGCGTCCACGTGCAGACCTTGCCCGGGTCGCCCTGCACCTCCGCCGCGTTAAGACAGTCGTCCTCGGTGTACAAGTTCCCGCACCCGGAGTCGCCGTCGCATGGCTCGCAGTCGTCGGAGTAGTCGTAGGAGTAGGAGTAGCTCGAACCGTCGTCGTCGTCGTCGTCGTCGTCGTCGTCGTCGTCGTCGTCGTCGTCGTCGGACGCGATCGGCGCCGCCGTCGGAGTGACGGGCGCCGCCGTCGGCGCGACGGGCGCGGGCGACGGCGTGACCGCCGGAAGCGCCGTCGGCGCCGGCGTCGGCAGCGCCGTCGGCGGCGCGGTCGCGACCCCGATCGGGTCGCGCGACTGCAGGCGGCGCAGGGCCGCGGCCGCGGCGCGCGCCGGCGCCGCGAGGCGCCGCGCGCCGTCGTCGTCGTCGCCGTCGAGCGTCGCCTGCACGTGCGTGTAGAAGACCTCGTAGGCGTTGAAGACGAAGCGGAGCGTCGCGTCGACGTCGAAGTCCGCCGCCGGGATCGTCGCGGTCGCGTCGAAGAAGGCGTCGTGGATCACGGCCTCGCCGTCGACGCGGAGGCCGCCGCCGACGAAGACCGCGGACGTGTCGTTCACGGACGTTCCGTTGAAGGCGAGGTCGGCGCCGACGACCTCCGCGCCGTCGGAGCTCAGCGCGGCGACGAAGGCGACGTCGTCGGGGAGCTCCAGGGGCGAGAACGTGCCCGCGCCGACGGTCAGCGCGGCGGCGCCGGCGACGTCGAGCACGGAGTCGCCGCCGAGCTCGAGCGAGCCCGCGAAGCCGCCCGCGGCCTCGAAGCCGGCGCTTCCGTCGTCGTCGTAGGCGTAGGAGTAGGACGACGGCGCGTCGCCCACGCGAAAGTGGCCCGAGAACTCGCCGTAGGCCTCGTGGTCGTCGACGGACTTGAGGACGTCGAGCGCGGCGCCGTGGCCGGCGATCGAGAAGCCGCCGTCCACCTCGTTCGCGCCGACCTGGCCGACGAGGCGGACGCGGCTCAGGACGTCGTCGCCGCGCTCGACGGCGGCGAGGTCGAGCGTGCCCGCGGCGCCCATGTCGAAGCCCGGCAGGTCCGTGGTCACGTCCCAGGCCGCGGACAGGTTGAGCAGCGGGCCCCGGTGGTCCGCCATGGTCACGGCCGCGCCGTCGCCGTCGACCGTCGCGATCGTCGTGACGTTGCGCCGCGTGCCGTCGGACTCGATCACATGGCTGTAGGACGTGAGGCGCAGGTCGTCGCCGCTGCCCTTGAGGTACTCGTCGACGGCGAAGACGTGGGACCCGTCGCTCGCGCGCGTCGTCGCCGCCGTGCCGCACCAGAGCGCGTCGACGACGGTCCCGCACGCGCGCGTCTCGTACTCGTCGTCCCAGACGCTGTACAGGCAGTGGTCCTCGGAGAGGGACTCGAAGTCGCAGGCCGCGCGCCACGCGGCCGGCGCCGCGAGCCGCCGGCGCCGCGGCGCCGCCGGGCCGCCGAGCGAAAGACTGTGCCGCGCGCCGACGAGCGCCTCGAAGAACGTGCGCCGGCCGCCGCCGGGGAGCGTGTTCGCCCAGAAGTCCCAGCCCGACGCCCGCTCGTTGCTGTAGGAAAGCACGTTCGCCGCGAGGGGCCCCGCGAGCGCGCAGCCGGCGGGCCCGGCGGGCTCGCCGGTCGCGCACCTCGCAAAGTAGGACACGTCGACGGCCGCGGCCTCGCCGCGGGCGAAGCGGAGCGTCGCCGCCTCGACGCCGGCGACGTAGTGCGCGCCCACGGGCGCCGCGGCGCCGTCCCCGCGCAGCGCCGCGGCGAAGGCGCCGCGGTCGTCCGACGACGCGACGACGAACGAGAGCTCGGGCGCGCGCACGGTGACGTTGGCCACGGGCCAGTCCGCGGGCACGGCGACGGGCGACGCCGCGTAGGTGCCCCGGAAGCTCCCGGCGTCGCTCGAGAAGGCGCGGAAGTGCTCGAGCGCGGCGTCGAGCTTCGACGTCGACGCTTCGACGAAGCCGCCGCGCGCGTCGCCGGCGAAGAGCTTCTTCCCGTCGTAGGCGACGTCGACGGCGCGCTCCCAGGTCAGGGTCCGCGAGAAGCCCAGGGACCGCCAGAGCGTGCCCTCGGCGTCGACGGCGCAGGAGACGCGTAGGGTCGACTCGAACGCAGAACCGGTCAACGCGTAGGCGCGAAGCCGCTCGAAGAGGAGGTCGAAGTCGAGGGCCGACACGCGCAGGGACGCGCGCACGGTCGCCGCCTTGCCCACGAGGGGCCAGGCGCCGCCGTCGGGCGCCGCGGAGACGCGCGCGACGGTACCGCCGGCCAGCTCCGCGCGGCAGGAAGCGCCCGTCACTTCCAGCGAGTGGAAGCGCGACCGCGGCCCGTCGAGGCCGACGCCGGAGACGTCGACGACGACGTCCGGGCCGTCGAAGCGCACGGCGATGGCCGCGTCCGTCGCCCGCAGGCCGTCGGGGCTCCGGAGGAGCGGCGCTACGGTGAGGATGGTGGCGAAGCCCAGGGCGAAGCTCAAGGCCGCGAGGGCCGCGAGGCAGGCCAGGAACCGGCGCCGCCGCGTCGTCGGCGGCGGCGCCGCCGCGAGCAGGCCAAACTCGCCGCCCTTCTCCGGGCGCAGGGGGTTCTCGACGGACGCCATGTTCGATGGGTGGTCGGGCAGCCCTACTCCGAATACACGTCAACCAACGGTTCATCATTGCAAACTTGAAGTGCGATGCGATGAGCAGCCCGATGACACGAGGATGATGCCTCCATCGTAGCAGCATCGATCATCTTGACGCTCGTCGGCGCGGCGCGCGGCGACGCCGCGCCGTGCCGCCGCCGCTGAAGCTCGGTGATGTGGCGCCTCCTCCTGATCACCAAAGCGCTCGCCCAGACCGCCTGCCCGAGGTATGTTTTGATCTCGGAGCAGCGGAGCGGTACGGGATTCTTTCTGGAGAAGATCAACGCGCACCCCGAGGTCAACTTCGCGAGCGAGCTCTTCGACGGCTTTCATGCATTGCATAAGTTGGACGTCGGCGTCGGCGTCCGCTCGTCCGCTCGTCTCGCCCCGACCCGCGACCGTCGCGCGATCGCAGGTCGGCGACGTCCTGGTCAGCTGGGAGAGCATGGAGGCGGTTATCGAGGCCACGTACCGCAGCCTCTGCGACGGGCGGCAGGCCTCCGTGGGCTTCAAGTGGATGTCGGGCGGCCAGCGTCCGCGCCTCGTCGACTCCCGACGCGACCTTGCGTAGGACGAACCAGGGCCACAGCGTGCACCACGCGCGCATCATCGAGTACCTGTCGCCGCCCCGGCGTCCGCGTTCCCGATCGTGCGCGAGCTCCCCGGCCGCCCGCGCGCCTCCCTCGGCCCTCCGCGCGCTCTCCGACCGTTCCGCGAGCTCCCCGGCCGTCCAGGCGCCGCACGGGCACCACCATTCTCTACCTCTTCCGCCGGAACCTCCTTCGCCACGAGATCAGTAAGAACGCCAACACGCAGCTCAAGGACGCCCTCGCGCATCCGAAGACGGCGGCCGAGCTCGCCTCCGCGCGAGGCAACGTGACGCTCTTCGAGGGCGCGGAGCTCGTCTCGGACATGGTCAAGAGGCTCGAGGCGCGCGCGAAAGTCGTCGGCTACTACGCGGGCATCCCGTCGCTGTTCCTCGCGTACGAGGACCTCGTCCCCGGCTCGAGCGACGCGGAGGCGCGGTGGGCCGCGGTCTTCGAGGTCCTGCGCGCGAGCGCGAACGCGACGATGAAGACGCCGAAGAGGCCGCTCGTCGCCATTCACCAGACGCGCGCGATCCTCGGCGACGTCGACAACGCCGCGGCGGTCCGAGACACGATGCGCTCCGTCTGCTCGCCGGAGGTCAGCTTCGGAGGCGCGTGCGAAGAGGTCCTCGCCGGAGCCGCCGCCGCTCCCGACAAAGCCATGCGGTCCGTCCTGAAGCGCTACGCGGCGGCGAACGCGGCGCTCGCGGCCGCGGCGGCGACCGCGGCGCTCGCGCCCCACGAGGGCAGGCGAACGTCCGTTCGCGCCCACGCCGACGCCGCGCCGTGCCGGCGCCTCGAGGCGGCGCTGACGCGCGACGACGCGGGCCGCCGCGCCTCGGCGCTGCGCGACTGCGGCGCCTGCCTCGCCCACCTCGACGCCGCCATGGACGCCTACTTCGAGTTCCTGCCGCTCGTGTCGGCGCGGCTCTTCCAGCTCCAGGTCTACGGCTGGGCCGACGGACGGACGGGCAACGCGTCCGCGTTCCGCGCGCTCGCGGACCGCCGCGCGGCGCTGGCCGCGCGGGCCGACCCGGCGCTCGCGCGGCCCGCGGCGGCGCGGCGGCGCATGGACGCGAGCGTCGCGAACTACGGCCAGTGCGCGCGCAGCGGGCGGCGCCTCGCCGCCGGCGCGGACCCGCGCGAGGACTGCGGCGCCGCGGCCGCGCGGGAGCCAAACGGGACCGCGTCGCTGCTCGCGCACCTGCACCTGACGTTCCACGGGGGCACGGCCCTCCTCGACCTCATCAAGTCGTCGACGTGCATGCTCCTGCCGAAGACGTGCGCGGCGAACGTCGGGGCGGGAAAAGAGCGCGAACTTCCCAAAGGCTCCTCTCTCGGTCGTTTTCCACTCGTTTCGGCTGACTTTTGGACGAGCGATCATCGCTCGGAACGGTCTCGACGCGTGGATGCTGTTTCCGGCACTCGCGCGCGCGGAACACTCACGTTGAAGCGACGTTGAATCACTCGTGTCCCGCCCAGGCGAACGTCCGCCCGGACAAGCGCGGCGCGGTCGACCTCCTGGCGGTGACGGCGGCGGCGAACCGGTGCAACGACCAGCGCTGCGGGAAGAACTTCGCGAGCCTCGCGGCGCCCGACGACGACGGCGCGGTGGCGGCGCCCGTCGACGCCGTATTCTTCGAGCCGTCGCTGCCGCGGCACGTCGCGCTGCGCTGGCTCGACTCTCCCAAAATCGTCTTCTCGACGGTCGCGCGGCACCCGTCGTTCTTCGCGCTCACAAGGGGCCTCCAGGCGGGCAAGCACCCGGACTTTCTGCTGCACGCGTGGCAGGGCAAGAGCCCGCCGCCGTCGTACTGCACAGTCCTCGCGGAAACGCACGTCAACGAGGTGCGGCGCCGCGTCGACGCCGGCGCCATCGAGGCGCCCAAGGGCCTCGACGCCTGCCTGCGGGGGGGCAGGGCCTCGCGGGCGCCGAACGCGACGCGCGCGGACCTCGCCGCGGCGCGCGCGAAGATGGCCCGCTTCGCGGTCGTCGTCGTCGCCGAGGAGTCCGCCCCGCCGGCGTCCGCGCGCGCGGGGGACCGCGTCGACGGCGCGCCGCAGGTACGCCGAGGGCCTCCGCGGCTTCTGCCGGCGCCTCGGCTGGCCGAGCTGCGCGGGCACGCGCCACCGGTGGAACCCGCCGCCCGAGGTGAAGGCGGCCGCGGACCGCGTCGGCCGGCGGCTCCGGCCCGCGCCCGCGCCGCACCACGGCGCCGAGGCGGCCCTCGGCCACTACGGCCTCGACCGGGCCGCGTTCGCCGCCCTCGTCGACGCGAGCCAGCTGAGCCTCGAGCTCTACTTCTTCGCGCGCGAGCTCAACCGCGCGGACCACCGCGAGCTCGGCCTCCGGCCGCCGTCGACGGGCCTGGCCGCGCCGGGCGAGTTCGAGGGCGTGTTCTTCTAAGGGAGTGTCGGTGTGAAGTGGATACCACGTGCGTTCGAGGGCGTATTCTTCTAGTTTGTGTCGGTGTGCGTCCAAGACATCGAATCCGGGAGAGCAAGCGAATTAGACGACGACGAAGGGACAAGCGGGACTAGAGGTGGCCGTAGGGGTTCGCCGGCTCCGCGGGCGTGACGCCCTGGTCCGCGAGGGCCGCCTCCGCGCTGCTGAGCTCCTCGAGGTAGGCGGCCTCGGCGTGGATGTACCTATCGAGAGGGCATGGTTTCGGGTGTTCGAATGCGCGGCGGACGCCGGGGCGGACCAGGAGGCGATGGCGGGCTTGAGCTCGACGAGCGTGATGCCCGTGGCCTTGTCCACGGTGACCTGGCCGATGATGTAGGCGACGTCGGCCTCGCGGACGGGCACGTGGTCGTTGATCTCCGTGAGGAGGCCCGACAGCTGGTCCACGGGCAGGTGGCCCGACGCGTCCTTGTCGTACTTCTCGAAGAGCTCCGTGAGCTCCTTGTTCGCGTGCTTGATCGCGATCATCGCCGACAGCGCCTTCGGCAGCTCGTCGACGGTGAGCTCGGGCTTCGCCGTCGTGCCGCCGATGCGCATGATGAGGTCCACCTCCTCGTCGGTGACGCCGCCGACGCCGGGCGTCCAGACGTTGAGCAGCTCCGTCGCCATGGCCTTCACCTCGTCGTGGTTGAGCGTTCCCGTCTTGGTGGCATCAAACTGCGTCATGAACTTCTGGAAGGCCTGGTTGCCGGAATTGCGCGCCTCATGGCGCTGGTTCCGCCGCTGCGTGTTGGGCGCGAGGTGGGCCGAAGCCGCGGCGCCCATGCTCTCGGGAGAGTGTGCTCTGCGGCGCTGCTGAAATTATTGAAGATTCAGGTTTACCTCATCGTGCTTCCAACGGCAAGTTTCTGATGGAGCTGCCCCGATGGAGCTAGCTCTCGAACTATGGCGGCCCACGTAGACGACGACCCGGAGCTCGAGCTCGAAAAGCTGCCGCAGGACCTCCACTCGCTGCGCGCGAGGGATGCCGCGCTCGACGCCTTGGCGAGCGAAATAATCGAGCGCGCGGCGCGGCTCGCGGCCGCGGCGCTCGAGCCCGCCGACGCGGCGGCCCTCGCGGCCCTCGGCGGCGCCGTCCTCGTCACGGGCGCCGCGGGCTACCTCGGCGCGGCGCTCTGCGGCGCGCTCGGCCGCCTCGGCGTCGCCCACGTCGGCGTCGACGTCGTCGCCGGGCCCGCGGTGCGCAAGCGCCACGACGTCGCCGACGCGGCGGCCCTGCGCGCGTCGGCCGCGGGCTGCGCCGCCGTGCTCCACGCGGCGGCACTGCACGCGCCGCACGCGTCGTCGCGGCACGCGGACGACTTCGTCCGAACGAACGTCGAGGGCACGCGGAACGTGCTCGCGCTCGGGCTGCCCGCGGTCCACACGTCGACGACGTCGCTCACCATAACGCCGCGCGTGAAGCGCCGCGAGCAGGCGGGGGAGCTCGTCTGGCTCGACCACGCGTCCGCGGATCCGACCGCGGCCGCGGCCGGCGACGACGCGCCGCGGAACAAATACGGGCGGACGAAGCTCGCGGCGGAGCGGCTCTGCGTCGCCGCGGCGGCGGACGTCGTCGTGCTGCGGACGCCGCGGTTCTTTCCCGAGGCGCCCTTCGAGGACGGCGGGGATCTTCCGAATTTCAAGGCGAACGAGCTCCTCGGGCGGCGCGCGGCGCTCGTCGATTTGGTCGACGCCCACCTGCGGGCGCTCGCGCGCGTCCGGGCGCTGCGCGGCCGCGTGCTCACGCTCTGCGCGCCGACGCCGCTGGCCCGCGGCCTCGCGCCGCGCGCCGCGGCGGCGCGCGTCCGCGACACGTGGCCGCGGGCCGAGGAGCTCTTCGCCCGCCGCGGCTGGCGCCTCGCGGACGCGATCACGCGCGTCTACGACCCGAGCGCCGCGATGGACGCGCTCGCGTGGCGGCCGCGCGTCACGTTCGCGTCGGTGCTGAGGGCGCTCGACGGGGAGGTCGTCGACGAGGCCGCGGCGCTGGAGATCGTTCTACGGGGGGCTTACTAAGCGGCGACGCGACGGGTCACTTCTTCGCGCGCTTGCGCTTCGACTCCTGCCCCGCGGCCTCGAGCTCGCGCACGCGCGCGAGCGCCGCGGAGAGGAGCTGGTCCTTCTCCGAGACGCGGACGTAGTCCGCGCGCGGGAACGGCACCGGCGCGTCGCGGCGCCGCGCGAAGAAGACGCCGCTGCCGAGCTCGAGCGCCTCCGAGAGCAGGAGGTCGCCGTCGCAGAGGCGCAGCGCGGGGACGTCGCCGTGGACGACGCCGCAGCAGAGCTTGCCGGCGTTGTCGAAGTCGCCGCCGACGCGATCCTCGTCCTCGTCCTCGTGCGCCCACGCCGGCCGCGCCTTGTTGCGGGCCATGCCGCGATCGTCCCAGCGAATCGGGTCGCCCTCTTTGCTGACGAACTCGAACGTGTGCCAGTAGCCCGTCGACGAATACGGCCTCGGCTCGACGTCCTCGAGGATCTCCGTGGAGAACGCGCCGGTGAGCGGACGCGCAGGAACGTCGTTCCGCGGGATGTCGACGCATCCCTCACCGCTCTCGTCGATGGACAGGTGGCCGGCGGAGGGGAGCACGACCTCGCGCTCGTCGTGGTCGCCGCCCCAGTCGTTCATGCTGAGGTAGAATCCGAAGATCTCATACCGCCCCGCGAGCGCCGCGGTCGTCGCGCCGCGGATGACGAGGCTCGCGTCCAGCGAAGCGTCGCTCACGTCCCAGAAGTGGTCGCCGGCGTCGGCCTTGTAGAAAAGTCTGCGGGACGCGAGCGCTTGCTCGTCCGCGACGCGCTTCTCCTCCTTCTTGAGCTCCTCCTCCGTCAACGCCGGGCCCGGGCGGACGGTGTTGCGCCGCGGGGGGCGTTTGCCGCCAGTCGACTTGCGCGCCGTCTGCTTGGTCCGGACCATTTCTCCAGCGGGTTCGCCGCCGCCGCGTTCCCAAAGACCCAGAAGCCGAGCCCTTGGCCGTCACGTTGTCAGGCAGCGGCGAGCAGCCCAGCGACAACCTCAATCCGGAGCGGCAATTTTGATGCATCGTTGAAGATCGGTAACGGAATTGCCGGAAGCGGCGCGCTGTGAGACGAAGACGCGCCGCAGCCACACCCACACTCAGCCACAGCAACAGTGCGATGTCGGCACCACCGCCGCCGCCGCCGCCGCCGCCGAGCATCGGTCCGCCGCCCGGCGCGCCGCCAGCTCCAGTTCCGAGGCCGCCGCAAAGCCCCGCGCCGCCGTCTGTGGTGAAGAAACCGCCTCCAGGTGCGGTAGCGATGCTGCCGCCTGGGGTCGGCGCGAAGCAGCTCACGAAGACGCTGAAGGCGACGAATGTCGGCGGACCCCCGCCGGGCCCACCACCGCCGGGCCCACCGCCGCCGAGTGCGATGAGCGCGTCGCCGGTCGTCCCGCGGCCACCCGTAATTACGCCGCCTCGGCCGCCGACGTCGTCGACTGTACCCGGCGGGCCGCCGCCGGGCCCGCCGCCGACGCCGCCGCCCTCGGGCAAGCCGCCCGTCGTCGCGCCGCCGCCCATGGTGGCGCCTCCGCCGATGTCGAAGCCCCCGCCGGCGTCGCGCGTCCCGCCAGTGAAGATGGCTGCGAAGCCGAGCAGCCCGGGCGCGCCGCCGCCGCCGCCGCCGCCGCCGCCGCCGTCGACGCCAATTCCCGGCGCCCCGCCGCCGCCGCCTTCGGCGCCGCCGCACTTGCCGCCGGGTCTGTCCCAGCGTCCGACGACGAGCCTACTTTTTCGCGTGAGGTTCCAACTCCGTCGTTTTCGTAGGCGCACCCCCGCCGCCGCCGTTACCGCCAGGACCTCCACCTTCTTCGGGCCCCGCGCCCCCGAAGCTCGTCGCGCCGCCGCCGCGAGCAGCGCCGCCCCGGGCCGTCGCGCCTCCTCCGCGCGGCGCGGTGCCGCCGCCGCCGCGCGGCGCGGCGGTCCCGCCGCCGCCCCGCGGATCGCCCGGGCCGCCGCCGCCCGCGAGCCCCGCGCCGCTGGGCGCCGCGCCGCCGGTGGCGTCGCTGACCCCGAAGCCCGGCCAGAGGAAGAAGGCGAGCCCGAGCACGGAGGACTTCGCGGAGGACCTGCCCTCGGCGGCCGTCTTCGACCACGAGGCGCGCGCGCAGGCCCTCGAGGAGATGGCCGCGCTGGAGCGGGCCCTCGAGCTCGAGATCGACGCGGGCGCGGCGCTCGAGGACGAGGGCCCGTCGCGCGACGCGTCCGTCGCCGACAGCGAGGAGGACGCGTACGAGCGCGCGCGGCTCCTCGAGACCGCGGAGCTCTGCCGCATGCGCCTCGCGGAGCACGACCAGCGCGTGCTCGAGCGCGCGGCGTCCTTCGACGACTGCGAGTGCCCGCTGTCGACCGTGCTCCGGGGCGTGCTCTTCGCGCGGGGCCGCCGCATCGCCGGCGACGGCATCGCGAGCGACTGGGCCCGGAGCCTCCTGCTCTGCGTCTTCAGGTGCCACGCGGGCCCGGACAAGCGCTGGGGCTTGGAGGAGTGGTGCTGCTTCGTCGCCGACTGCAAGTTCCCGTCGGAGGACGCGCCGCGGCTCTTCAGGCGCGTCGCGCTCCAGCGCGCCGCGGCCGCCGTCGGCGGGCCCAACGACGCCGCGGACGCCTACGACTCCGACGCCTCGGACGACGACGGCGACGGAGACGGCGTCGCGGCGCTCGTCGCCGCCGGAGTGCACGACGTCCGCTTCGAGTTCGGCGGCTTTTATCGCTTGCTCGAGGAGCTCGCGGCGTCGCGGCGCGCGGCGGCCGGCGCGGACGACGACTCCCGCGACGCGCTCGAGGCGCTCTGCCACGACGTCGTCGTGCCCCTGGCCGCGCAGATCGGCGCGCGGGGCCCGGACGCGCGCGGCGCGACGCGCGTCGACGGCAACCCGCTCCTCGCGGAGCGCAAGACGCTCCTGCTCCTGGCGACGTACCTGCCGAACCTCTGGCAGCTCTTCACCTTGTACGCGCAGGACGAGCGGGGCCACACGGCGCCGCGGGGCAACGCGTCGCGGTCGCGGGCGCTGGGCTTCCCGCACCTCGCGCAGGCCGCGGAGCACGCCGTCGCGGGCGTCGAACTGCGGGACCCGGCGTCCGTCGAGTTCGGGCCCCGGGCCCGCGACATCGAGGCGACGGCGCTCGGCTCCTCGGCCGAGCACTGCCGGTCCGTCGCGTTGGCCCTCAACGAGGACCGCTTCCTGCGCCTCTGCGAGGATCTCGCCTTGGTGCCCGCGGTGGCGACGGCCGCGTTGGGCCGAAAATGCTACAAGGACGCGCGGAAGCCGCGCCTCGGCTGCGAGCTCGGCGAGGCCGCGTCGCCGGCGAAGAAGCGCGCGAGCCCGACGAAGAAGCCCCGCCCCCACTTCCAGTCGCCCATCCTGCGGACGACGGCGGCGCACCGCCGCCGCATGCTCGCGACGGCGTCCCAGACGTCGAGCCTCCACGCGACGCGCGACGGCCACGCGCGCGCGACGCCGCGGTCCAAGGCCGTCCGGGCCAACGTGAGCCTCGCGCTCGAGCAAACCAAGGCGCGGGGCCCGCGGAGCGTCGCGTCGACGCTCGCGCGCGAGATCGACCTGACCACGGAGGCGTGCCCGGGCCTGAGCTTCTGCGAGTTCGTCGACGCGCTCCTCTCCGTCGCCGACGGCGCCATCGGCGCCCGGGGGAGACTCAAGGCCCTCTACCCGACGCCCCACGACCGCGCCGTCGCGCTCCTCGCCGTCTGGGGCGCCGCGGACCCGAACAAGTTCGACCTCGTCGCCGGCTGCGTCGCGAGCCACTGCCACGCGAACACGGGAGAGCACCGTTAGACGGTGTCCCGACGGGCGGTCGCGTAGCCTAAGTTTACCCGAGGCTGCTGTCGGGTCTGACGAGCCTGGGCGTGAGGTGGTCGGCGGCCGTGACGTTGACCTTCCCCCGCAGGATGAGGTGCGCCGTGACCATGCACTCCGTGCCGTACTTGTAGCGGATCCGGTAGGGCCCGCAGACCTCGTTGAGGAGCGCGTCGTCGGGCTTGTGGGCGAGGCCGATGTCCGCGCACCGGCCGTCGCGGAACTCGTCGGCCCAGAGCCGCTGGTACGAGTCCATCGCGCCGCGCGTCATGATGGCAAACGCGTCGCTCCGCGCGCTGTGGCGGTACCAGGCGCGCGGCGCCTCCGGGTCGCCCGGCGCCGACGCGATGGCCCGCACGTAGCGGACCTGGCGCTTGCCGTAGAGCGCGTCGGGCCGGAGCCGGCCCGCCCAGCCGTAGCGGACGCCCGTCGCTCGCTCGTGCGCCTGGACGAGCGCGAAGCACCTGCCGATGCTCCAGAACTGGGGCCCGTGGTGCGAGAAGTGGCAGCAGCTCGGCTTGCTCGGGTTCCGGTGGCACTCGCCCGGCGGCGGCGCCTCGGCCTCGTAGTCCGCGAGGCCCGCCGCGGCCGGCCGCCCGAGGACCTTCCGGCTGCTCTCGTAGTACTCGACGCGGACGGGCCGCAGCGACGCGATGGCGGCCGCGTAGCGTGTCGCGTTCTGCGTGCCGTGGAAGCTCGCGAGCTTCAAGCTCTTGCGGTAGGACTCGTTCAGCGAGATGAACATGAAGACGTCGCCGCCGCCGGGAAACGCCCGCCGCAGCGGGCCGATGGACTCGTAGGTCTCGAGGAACGTCCGCAGCTGGCCCGAGATGCACAGCGCCGCGCGCTGCGAGTAGTCGGGCGCTGCAAGCGCCAGCGACGCCAGCGCGAGGAGGCGTCCTACCATCGTCGGGCAGCCTTTACATTTTGTTGAACAAATGCTGAACACTTTCTTGAACCCTAGGCGAGATATGGAGTCGTGAGAGCTCCTCGGCTGCCCGGCAGAGCAAGAGCCGGTGGCAAGCTCTCGTCAGCCTCGAACCGGGCAGCCTCGAACCGGGCAAGCTCTTGTCAGTAGAAGAAGAACTCCTCGGCTTCCCTCGGCCGCCCCAACCATGCCTCGCGCGTCCCACGCCATCGAGGACGCCGCGGCCGCGTACCGGCGCCACATGGAGGAGACGTCGACGCAGCGCATGATGGACAACGCCGCCGCGGTCCTGCGCCGGTCGACGCGGCCTCGCGAGGAGGAGGTCGATGTCGAGGTCGACGAGGCGCCCGCGCGCGCGCTCCCGAGCCGCTGGCACCTCGCGGCGCTGCCCGCGCTGCCCGCGCCGCGCGACGACCGGGGGGACCACGAGTGCAGCGTGTGCCTGCAGGCCATCGAGGACGAGTTGGCGCTGCCCTGCGGCCACGCCTACTGCGGGCCCTGCGTCGAGGCCGCGCTCCGGAAGAAGGCCGAGTGCCCGCTCTGCCGCCGCGACATGGCCGCGTTCTGCGCCGCGCGGGGCATCGAGACGGCGGCCGCCGAGCGGGCCGCGGAGCCCCAGCGCGCCTTCGGCCGGCGGCGGCGGCCCCCGGAGTCGTCGGACGTGCCCGTCATCGTGCGCGCGGGCCACTTCGAGCGGGGAAACATGGTCGTCTTCTTCGTCCGCGTTGACGGCCGCTGCCGCTTCGGCGACGCGCTGTTCCGGAAAGTGTCGTTCCAGTTCAAGAACGCCGCGGGCGACGAGCAGGAGATCGTGTTGAACGCCGCGCCCTTCGAGCTGCCTCTGCCCGCGCCGGCCGCCGGCTCACCACCCGCGGAGGTGCTGGCGACGGTGCACCCGCGGCCGGGCCTCGGCGTCGACCGCACGCCCCAGTTCGTGCCCCTGTCGTCCGCGACCTTCGCGGGCACGGTGCTCGCGCTCAAGAGCGAGTGGGCCGCGGCGGCCGCGAGCCGCGTGCGGCGCTCGCGCGCGCGCGTCCACTCGGACCCGGGCTCCATGACGGAGACGCTCACGCAGCTCGACACGCTCCGGCGGACGAACATCGAGACGCACCGCTCGCTCACAGGCACCGTGGAGCGCATCCGGGGCCAGGCGAACAACATCCGCGCGCAGCTCCGCGAGTCGCGGCGGACGCCGAGCCTCGCCGACATCGTCGCGCTGAACAACGCGGCGCTGGGGAGGTAAGGGGCGCGGGTTCTTTGTTTTCGCTTCTCTGGATTGATTCGTCGGCCTCGATACGTCTCAAGTGACGTCTCGGCGCTGCGCCGGCCGGGCGCCGGCTCGGTGCGACTGGCATGCGTTGGGGGGATTCGCAGGCATCCAGAGCGCGCCGGCCGGCCGATCAGCCGAGCCAGCTCGAGCTCGACCTTGACATCACCAGGTGGCCAGCAGCGCGCAATGAAAATCTCAGCCGCCATCCTCGCATCCGCCGCCGCGACGGCCTCGGCCTGGGTCGCGCCGCGGTCCGCGGCGCCCCGCGGCCTCAGCGTCCGCGCGCCGCCCGCGTCCCACGACCTCTTTTTTCCCGCCAGCTCAGTTTGAAACCCCGTAGGCCCGTCGACGCCGACGTACCAGGTCATCGACATCCCGAGCGACAAGCCCAAGGTCGAGGAGGTCGAGGCGAAGCCCACGGCCGAGGAGGAGGAGGCGCGCCTCATCGCGCCCATCGACGGGCGGCCCATCGTCGGCGTGTCGGGGTTCTTCGCCGATCCCACGAAACGGAACGACCAGCGCGTGCTCGACGTGCTCCACGCCCAGAACTCCTGGGGCGGCATCGTCGCCTTCAGCGAGGACGTGCCCGCGACGAAGAAGCGCCTCGTGAGCCGGTCCGCGCGCTACTCGGGCCTCCTCGGCGTCCTGAAATTCGGCGAGTGGTCCGAGTCCGGCGTCGTCGAGGCGCTCGAGGGCAACGAGGTCCAGGCCTGGCTCGCCTTCGACGTGCCGCCGGAGAAGGTCGGCGCGACGCTGTCCGCGGCGCTCAAGGCCAAGACCGTGGAGCGCGTCGTCGTCGCGTCGACGGGCCCCGTCGACCCGTCGCAGCTCACGGTGCCCGAGGACAGTGACCTCACGTGGTCCGTCGTCGCCTTCGACGTCGCGGCGCTGGCCGACGACCTGCCCGAGGGCGGGCCCCTGGCCGTGGACCGCGACTCGGAGGATTTGGCGGCGGCGATCTCGCGCGACGACGCGTGCCGCGTCGTCGCGGAGGCCTTCGTGCTCGCGCCCGCCGCGGGCAAGTGCTTCACCGTGTCCAACGGCGGCGAGGTCGCCGCGTCCTACCTGCGGACCCTGCGCGAGGACGGCTACAGCCGGCGCGCGGAGCTCGCGAAGCTCGTCGAGGGCGGCCTCGCGCAGTTCGAGCTCGACATGAAGCCCAAGGAGGAGCAGGAGGCGGCCCTCGACCCCGAGGAGCTCGCGAAGATCAAGGCCCAGGAGGCCGAGGACCGCCAGAAGGAGTACGCGGCGCTCTTCGAGGAGTCGCGGAAGCAGGCGGCCGAAAAACGCGAGCGCGAGGTGACCGCCAAGGCCCGCGAGTGGCTCGGCGGCCGCTGGAACGAGAAGAAGTACTCGAGCGCCGCGGGCATCGACGTCGAGGCCTACATCGAGGAGAACTGGGCCCAGGGCGTCGAGGAGGCGTCCGCGATCCTCGGCTACACGCGCCGCGACCGCGAGGCGGGCAAGCTCGACGACGACGACGACGACGACGACGACGACGACGACGACGACGACGACGACGAGTAGGCGGCCCGCTTCTCCGCGCCGGGGCCCATCCACACGCGGCGCCCCCGCGCCCCGGCCGCCGCGGCCGCGGCCGACGCCCGCCGCGGCCGCGGCGGACCCACCCCGATCCCCCCTGCACACTCTCCGCCAAGCTCCGTTTGCCCTAACATCTCGAACGCACGCCGCGCGGGTCGGCGTGGGAAGGCGCGGTCGCCGAGGCGTTACTCGGCGACGACCCCCGGCGACCGAGCTGCAGGGGTGCGATGGTCCCTGACCTGCTGATCGCATTGCAGCTGACCTGCTGATCGCGGCGCGCACACCTTGAGGCACGCGGCAGCAGCAGTGCACGCGTACACCCCGTCGTCATGGCGCAGGCGCGCGGCCTCGTGCAGTGCGTCCTGATGCTGGTCGGCGCGTGGCTGTTTCTCGCGTGGACCTTCCTCCATAGCCACCACGACACCGTCGTCGACACGGCGGCGGCGGCGCGCGCCTGGCAGGAGGCGAAGGACCACGTCGACGCCGCCGGCGCGCTGCGGCAACAATTCGCCGCCCCGGCGGCGCCGCGCCGCGTCGACGCCTCCGCGCCGCGCGCGCCGCCGGCGCTCGCGGCGGCGCCGCGCGGCGCGGCGGCGCCGGGCGACCTCTTCGCCGCGGACGCGACGCGCGACGCGGCCTTCGCGGCGCAGGCCCTTCGGGCCGCGCCGGCCGCGCCGAAGCCGCCGGCCGTTCGGGCCGCGCCGAAGCCGCCGCCGCAAAAGCCACCGCCGAAGCCGGCGGCCGACGGCTGCACGTGGCGCGACTGCTTCGGCCCCAAGCAGTCGTGCCTCGCGTTCTGCCGCCTCGAGCCGCCGACCTACGTGGCGCTCGCGCCCGACGGCTGGGTGCCCGACCCGACGGCGCTCCGGAAGAAGTGGCTCGCGCGGCCGACGGAGTTGGACGACGCGCTGTGCGAGGACTACAGTCCCATGGGCGGCCGCGGCGACGACTCGAACAAGCGCATGCTGCGCGAGGGCCCCATCGAGGCGTCGCCCTTCGAGACGCGGTCCGGGCCCAAGCTCCTGTGTTTGGTCTATACGATGGCCGAGAACCACGCGTCGAACGTACGAGCGATCGCGGAGACGTGGGCGCCGGGCTGCGACGGCTTCGTGGCCTTTAGCACGGCGTCGGACCCGGCGCTCAACGCCATCTCCATCCCCCACGACGGCCGCGAGGAGTACAACAACATGTGGCAGAAGATCCGGTCCATGTGGAAGTACGTCGCGGCGCATTATCTGGACCAGTACGACTGGTTCTTCATCGGCGGCGAGGACCTCTACGTGATCCCCCAGAACCTGCGGGACTACCTCGCCACGCGGCCGGGGCCGGAGACGCCCCAGTTCCTCGGCCGCCGCTTCCGCGACTACGGCAACGTGCTCTTCAACAGCGGCGGCGCGGGCTACGCGCTGTCGCGGTCCGCGCTGGAAGCCTACGCGGCCCACGCCGAGGATGCTAGGTGCGCGCCCGCGGCGCACACGCCCCAGGAGGATGTTCAAATCGCGAAGTGTCTGAAGAAGATTCTCGGAATCGAGCCGGACGACACGCGCGACGCGAGCGGCCGCGAGCGGTTCCACCCCTTCGCGCCGGGCCACATGCTCACGATCCGGCCGCCGGCCAAGGGCCAGCACGACTGGTACTACGACTACAACAAGGAGTGGGGCGTCCTCCCGGGGACCATGTGCTGCGCGCCGGACTCCGTGTCCTTCCACTACCTCAAGAAGCCCGCCATGGTCCGCCACGTCCACAAGCTGCTCTACGACCGCTGCCCCCATCGGTAACCTGGAACCTAGCGGAGCTCCTGCTTCTTCTTGCGAAACTCCCGCTTCTTCTCCTTCTTCCTTCGCCGCTTCTTCTTCGGCGGCGCGTAGCCCTCGCGCTTGAGGAGGTCCTGGACGGGGACCTTCAGGCTCTGCGCGCGCTCGAAGAGGCGCGTGAGCCTGGGGCCCTTGGAGTCCTTCATGAAGTCGCGGAGGCCGTCCGCGCCGAGGCCGTCGAGCGCGGCCGCGAGCATCTGGCCGTCGCCGGAATCCTCGTAGGCGAGCGCCGCGCGCGCGGTGGCGCCGAGGACGGCGAGCCGCGCGCGCAGGCCGTCGGATTCCCTCGCCGCCGCCGCGAGCCGCGCCTCGGCGCCGTAGATGTCGACGTCGTAGCGGAGCTCCGATACTTTGAAAGCGGCGTAGTGCGGCTCCGTGGACGCGACGGTCGCGCCGCAGGTGCCGCCGCAGATGGCGTCCGCGGCGACGTGGCTCGCGTGCCAGAGCTCGTCGAGCTCGGCGCAGATCTCGTAGGCCGCCGTGACCTGGGCCGGCTTCAGGCGCGCGGCGCGAAAGTAGCCGCTGCCGCAGGCGACCTTGGCGTAGTCGCCGGCGGCCGGCGCCTTGGACCCGAAGGCGAAGCGCGCCCCGTCGTCGTCGTCCGACGCCGCGAAGCGGAGCACGAGGAGAAGCGGTGCGACGCGCATCTCAGGATTAGGCAGCCCGAACGACCATCGTCAAGGCGACACCAAGTCATGAGTGAACGGCAACCAATCGACGGCAACACAAGACGACCTCGAGCGTTGACATCAGCGCGATGGCGACCATGTCCTGCCGCAAGCTTTTCGCTGCAACGATTCTGCGCAAACCGACGGCCGTGCGCAGCATGGCCACCGCTCAGAGCATCGAAGCGACGAAGGTCGCGCTGCGCGGCGCCGACGCCGTCTGCTTCGACTTCGCGCGCCGCCCGCGCCCGTGACTGCACTCCCTTTTGCACATCCCCGCCCCTGCAGGACTCGACGCTCATCAGCGAGGAGGGCATCGACGTGCTCGCGGCGCACTGCGGCGCCGGCGAGGCCGTCGCGGCCTGGACGGCCAAGGCCATGGGCGGCGGCGTGAAGTTCGAGGACGCGCTCGCAGCGCGCCTCGAGCTCATCGAGCCGTCGCGCGCGGACGTCGAGGCCTGCCTCGCGGCGCACCCGCCGCAGGTGACGCCCGGCGCCGAGGCGCTCTGCGCGGCGCTCGCGGCGCGCGGCACCCTCGTCTACGTCGTCTCCGGCGGCTTCCGCTGCATGATCGAGCCGACGGCGTTGTCTTCGTTCGGCGTGCCGTCGGACCGCGTCTTCGCGAACCACATCCTCTGGGACGAGGCCGGCAACTACGTGGGCTTCGACGAGGCCGAGCCCACGTCCCGCGACGGCGGCAAGCCCAAGGTCGTCGGCATGCTCAAGGCCGCCGGCGCGAAGACCGTCGTCATGGTCGGCGACGGCGCGACGGACGCGCAGGCCAAGCCGCCCGCGGACGCGTTCCTCGGCTTCGGCGGCGTCGCCGTCCGCGACGTCGTCCGCGACAGCGCCGACTGGTTCGTCACGGACTTCGCCGACGTCGTCGCCGCGCTCGACGCGCCCTAGGCGCCCGACCTCGCCATCCGTAACTCAGGACACATGAGGCACAGAAGATGCTGTCGATGAAGAAGTCGACCGTCGCGTCGTCGTCGAAGCCGGCGAGCATGTCGATGCGATTCCCCTCGACGCTGTCGTCGTCGCCGAGCATGCGCGCGTGGGTGACGAGCTCGACCCAGTCGCACTCGGCGGCGGCGAGGTCGAGGCCGCCGCGGAGCGTCGCGTTGCAGCAGAGCTCCGTCCCGACGAGGAAGACGTCGGACAGGTGCTCGAGGTGCGCCATCGACGGCGGCAGGCCGTCGAGGCGCCGGTTCTCCGCGAGCACCGCGATCTCGAGGCTCGCGAGGCGATCCGCCGGCAGCGCGGCGAGGTCGTTGGCGCTGAGATCCAGATATCTCAGGGACGCGAGCTCGGCGAAGGACGGCGGCAGGCGTTCGAGGGCGTTGTACTTCAGATCGAGCGTCTCGAGGCTCGCCAGCCCGCCGAAGGAGCCCGGGAGCTCGACGAGCCCGTTCTCGATCGCGCTCGGGGTCTCGAGCGAGGCGAGATCGCCGAGCGAGTCCGGGAAGCTCGTGAGCTCGTTCATGTCGAGCACGAGCGTCGCGAGCGCCGCGAGGTCGCCGATGGACTCCGGGAGCGCGCTCAGATCGTTCGAGGCGAGCTCGAGGCGCTCGAGGCTCGCGAGGCCGGCGATGCTCTCGGGGAGCGTCTGGAGACGGTTCCCCCGGGCCTCCAACACCTTGAGTTCGGACAGCGCGCCGATGGAGTCGGGCAGCGACGCCAGGAGGTTGTACGAGAGATCCAGGTACTCGAGCGCGTCGAGGCCGCCGCACGACTCGGGCAGCGCCTCGAGCGCGGCGCGGGTCACGACGAGGCTCTCCAGCGTCGGCGCCACGCTCCGGCCCAGGGAGCTCGGCAGCGCCGTGATGGACTGGGCCCGGACCTCGAGGTACCTACGCGGCCGCGTCGGCGAGTCGACGCGAGCGTCCCGCGGCGCGGGGCGGCGCTTGACGTTGAAGAATCGCGTGGACAGCTCGTCCGGGAAGTCGCCCGACGCGTCTTCGCCATCGTCGAGCTCGTACTTGTAGCCGCCGTCGAGGACGAAGTGGCCCCGGTCGTTCTTGAAGAGGTCGGAGACGCCGTCGGAAAGTAAAGCCTCCTTCGGCGCGAACTTGGGCGAGACGATGGGCGCGGTGCAGTAGTGGTGGCCCCAGAGCGTCGTGACGACGGCGCTCTCCGCCGTCCGGCCATCGCCCGCGCGCCGCCGGAGGGTCTGAGACGCCAGGTTGACGACGCCGCACTCCGAGTCGACGAACGAGTCGAGCGCCGCGCCGCCGGCGAGCTCGAAGAGCAGGGTCGCCGTGTTGCCCCAGGGCGGCCAGTAGGCGAGCCCGGCCTCCGACGCGGCGAGCGCCGCGACGGTCTCCGCGGACTCGACGAGGCCCCGGCCGCGCCACTCCCAGTCGAAGGTGATCTCCTCGCAGTCGCGCTTCACGGCGCGGTAACCGTCGTCCCGCCGCGTCGCCGTCGCCAACATCGCCGTCGTGTAGGCGGCGGCGGCGGCGCTGCCGAGGACGACGGCCGCGGCCGCGGCCGCGCGGCCGCGGCTCGCGGCCGGCGGGCGCCCCTTCGCCGGCGGGCTCCCCTTGGCGCCGCCGTCGTCGACGGCGTAGGGCGCGACCCGGGCCGCGGAGCGCGCGGCGAGCGTCGCGTCGCGGAGGGCCCCCGGCGCGTGGAGTACGAAGGGCACGACGGGCAGCGCGGACAGCGCGACGTCCGCGAGTGAGCTGGACACGAGCACCGCGGGCAGCGCGGCGTCGTCGACGATGCGCGCCGTGCGCCGCGACGCCGCGAGGGCCGCGCCGAGCGCCCAGAACGTGTAGCCGAGCTCGAGGAGGCCGTCGACGAGCGCGTGCGCGAGGTCGACGTCCACGACGGCGACGAGCGTCGCCGTGAGCGCGCAGTTGACCGCGAGGAGCCACGCCAAACCGCCGACGGCGAGGCCGCCGTCGCCGACGACGGCCATGGCCGCGGCGAGCTCGTGGTAGGCCCGCGAGTCGCGGCCGTGGAGCGCGACGAGGATCGGGTCCAGCGAGCTCCAGCGGAGGACCTGGTACGACTGCGCGCCGACCTCGAGGGCCTCAAAAACCAACGTCTGCAGCACCTGGGACCGCGTCCCGAGCGCGTACAAAACGAGCACGACGAGCGCCGACCCGACGCCGACGCCCGCGGACGGGCCCGAGCCGCCGCCGACGACGAACGCCGCGACGATGGCGCACACGAGGAAGCCGATCTCGACGGCGTCGCTCCCCGCGGCCTCGACGAGGCGGTCGCGCGCGCGACGCCACGGCGACGGCGCGTCCCGCGCCGCCGCGCCGGGGAAGTAGAAGGACCGCCAGCGCAGCGTCGCGTCCATGACGACCTTCGCGCACCAGCCGCAGAGGACGAGGTAGACGGCCGCGGCGACCAAGACCTCCCAGGTGTCGTGGTGGTACAGGCGCAGCAACCGCGCGTACTTGTAGTTGTCGCTGTGCTCGAAGTCGTAGGCCGGCCGCGGCGTCCATTCGACGGCCGCGTAGCCCGCCGCGACGCCGGACACGTCGAAGCCCGCTTTCCCCCACGACTCGACGCGCCTGGCCTCCCACGTCGACCGGTGGGCGCTGCTGTAGGCCTAGAGCTGGATCGCGTTGACGCCCAGCCAGGCCATGGCCGCGCCGACGAGGCCGAAGAGCACGGGCGCGGCGAGCCCCATCCAGCCGAGCTCGGACCAGAACGATCCGGCGGCGCTCCGCACCTCGACGTCTGCGCCCGTGTCATCATCATCGGGCGCGATCTTGCGCGCGGGCACCGCTTCCGTGTCGGCGCCCGCGTCGGCGGCCATCGGGCTGCCCCCGCGCGTAGCAACGCAGCAGCCCGCTGTATTCCCGCTTCGATCCCGCTTCGGCAACGGAGTTGCGGCCAAAAGTGATGCCAACGTTAACGACTGCTGCATCTCGCCGAGCTCGGATCGGATGGAGGAAGCGACTGCTCCGGGGGCTCCGGAGGAAGTGGTGGCTCCGGAGGCTCTTGAGGCGACGAGCTGGTTGGGCCCGGCCGGCGGGCGCGCCCGCTAAAGACCACAAAAACCGACGTTACGCGCGCGCCTCCGCGTCGAGCAGCGCGAGCCACCGCTCGGAGCGCGATTTCGCGTCCGCGCCCTCGGGCAGGCCGCGGACGATGTCCGCGAGCCAGTCCCGGTGGTGCTCGACGTAGGACCGCCGCGCCGCGCTCGCCGTCGGCGCGCCGACGAGCAGCGCCGCCTCGCCCGGCGGTCTCCGGTCGTCGCCGTCGCCGCGCCGCTCGGCGCGGAGCGTCACGAGGACGCGGCGGCCCGTGCGCCGGAGCCGCGCGCCGTTGTCGTCGAGCCACAGCTCCTCGGCGACGTCGTAGCCCCGCGCCCAGAGCGTCGACCGCAGGTCCCGCGCGTGCGCGATGTGCTGCTGCGTCGGCTGGACGACGAAGCGCCGCGGCGGCGCGCCGGCGTCGCACGCGGCGTCGATTAAGCGCGCGGCCGTGCGCGCGCCGACGCCCGCGACGATCGCCGTCTCGCACCAGGGCAGCGCCGCGTCCCTCGCGACGGCCGCGACGCCGTCGCCCAAAAGGAAGGCCTCGGCCGCGACGCCGCGGTCCGCGAAGTGGCGCACGGCGTTCCGCAGGGGCGTCTCGGCGATGTCGACGGCGACGACGCGGCGGCCGAGGCTCGCGAGCTCCGCGGCGAGGTAGCCGTGGTCGCAGCAGACGTCGGCGACGAGGCCGCGCGGCGCCGCGCCGCACGACCAGGGCCGCTGCGCGAGGGTGAGGGCGTGCGTGAGCCGCTCGCTCAGCGCTGCGGCGCGCGCGAGCGCCCCGGCGGCGACGACGGCGACGCGCAGGGATATGACGGCGCGCATCGAGGCGATGGGCGGGCACCTAGCAGTCCTGAATGTGCTCCATTGAGGCGTCCATTGCTGCGAATTTGATGCACCTGCAGAGTGATGTGCATCGTGCAGTGATGACACGCCCCCCCCAATAATGGCTGCCATCGTCGACGCGCCCCCAATAATGGGCAGTGGATGACGCCTTCCATGCGAAATGGAAGGAGCAGCGGTGGGTCGAGACCACGCGCGACGGCGATTTCGAGGGCTGCATCAAGGACATGGGCATCAACGCGGCGGGCGCCAAGATCATCAACTTCGTGTCGTCGGTGAAGACCAAGGGCGAGTTTACCCTGAAAGTCGTCGACGGTGCGCCGCTCCCCGTCGGGCGCCTCCCCGCGACACGACGCGCGTCCCTAGGTCAGTTCATCAAAATCAGACATAACATGATGTCGGACAAGGTGGGCACGCCGAAGCCTCTCGACGCGACGACCGAGGTCGAAGACACGGACGAAGCGGGCCGCAAAATAAAGTGCGTCACCTCCGTGAAGGAGGGCGGCGCCATCGAGGTCAAGAGCGTCTGGGTCGACACGGGGTTCATCGGCCTCGCCACCTTCGAAATCTCCGACGACGGCAAAACGATGAAGAACACGACGACGTCCCGGAACGGCATCAGCTTCACGACGACGTGCGTCCCCGCGGAAGCGCCGACGGGCTGGTTCTCCTGAGCGTGCCCGAGGCGCGTCGAGCCCCCGGGCGCGCCGCGCGTCCCCCCAGAACCGTTACCTACGCGTGCGTCTGGACCCTCCGGCTGTCGAAGGCCGTCGACGGCCCGTAGCGCCAGGCGGGCATCTCGACGTGGTCGCCCCAGCCGACCTCGCCGACGCCGGCGACGCGCTTGTAGGCCCGGGCGACGTAGTCCGGGACGACGTGCGTCACGTCGGGCCGCCGCTCGTTGTGCTCGTAGAACGAGCTCCAGCCGCAGACGTAGCGCGCCGGGAAGCGCGACCCGTCGAAGACCAATAACGGCCCCTTTGCGTGGGGGAAGTCGCCCGCGGCGACCGTCGTCAGGCGCACGCGCCGCTCCGACGGGTACGCGAGGCACGGCTGCAGGTAGCGGACGCCGTCGTGCGTCGCGTCCCAGCCGAAGTGCGTGTGGCCGAAGACGTGGACGTCGGGTTTTAATTCCGCGACGCGGTCGCCGAGGAACCGCGACCCGACGGCCTTGTTGAGCGCGGGGACGTAGAGGAACCGCTTCTCCGGCACGAGCTCGATGCGGGGCACGAAGTGGCTGCAGGTCACGAGCGGCGCCCCCGGGTGCGCCGCGCGCAGCGCCGCGACGTCGTCGCTCAGGGGCCCGTTCGCCTCGTCGAAGAATCGCGCGACGGATTCGTCCGTCATGTCCAGGCCTGGGCAGGAAAAGGGTGATTCAACGTCGCTTCAACGTGAGTGTTCTGCGCGCGCGCGTTCCGGAAAAGCATCCACGCTTCGAGGCCGTTCCGAGAGATGATCGCTCGTCCAAAGATCAGCCAAAACGAGTGGAAAACGGCCGAGATAGGAGGCTTTGAAGTTGGGAATTTCGCTCTCTTGTCCTGCCCTGGTCCAGGCCCGGGAAGGCGCAGCGGTAGTAGTCCGACATGCACTGCTCGGCTTTGGGCAGGTTCTCCCAGCCCGTCACGTCGGGCTCCGTGTCCCAGGACTGGTGGTGCCAGCTCAGGATCGGCGCGACGACGCAGCCCGAAAAGTACGCCGGGCGCGTGTGCACGTGCAGCGACGCGCAGAGCCGGTCGATGGCCTCGCGCTTCTCCGCCGCGGACGCGAAGGCCTCGCCGCGCTCCTTCCAGAGGTCGTGGTTGCCGACCACGAACGCCACGGACGCGAAGCTCGCCGCGCAGAGCTCGAGCGTCTTCCGGAGGACGGAGAGCCGCGACGACACGTCGCCCGCGACGATGAGGCCGTCGCGGCGGAACCGGCCACCGCCCAGCGTCTTCGCGAGCCAGTCCCAGTTCTCCGCGTGGTCCGTGTGCAGGTCGCTGATCGCCCAGAGCCGGCCCGTCGCCGCCGGCCGCGGGCCCGCGCGGAGGCACCGCTCGGTGACGAAGCCGCGGACCGGGCTCAGGATCTCCGCGCGGACCGTGCCGTCGTGGAGCGTCACGCGGCCGCCGAGCGTCACGCGCGTGCCCGACGCGAGCTCGCCGCAGGCCGCGGACGAGAGCTCGGCGCCCGCGCGCACGCGCGCGCCGTTCTTCGAGGAGATGATGGCCTCGCGGGCCGGCTCGTCGTCCGCCGGGCTGCCCGCGTCGTCCGCGGGGCTGCCCGCGTCGGCTGCGCCGCTCGCCGGCACGCGCTGGCAGCTCCACGCCGGCGGCTGCTCCGCGCCGGCGCTGCACGGCTTGGTCCACTCGGTGGTGGCCATGGCTGCCCGATGACAGGACTCAACGTGGGCTCACATAACGATGTTGAAGCAGTAAAAAGCCGATGGAATGCAAGCTCTAGCCTACACATGCTGGAATGGTGGTCCCAGACGGCCGACGACGCGTCGGACGGCGACGAGGAGCCGCTCGACGCGTGGCTCGCGCGGCCGATGGCGCCGGAGCGCGCGGCGCCGCAGAGCAGGCCCGCGAGGCGGCCGCTCGGGAAGCCGCGGCGGCGCGCGGCGCCTCCCGTCGAGCCGCGGCGGCGCGCGAAGCCGCCGCGGCGCGAGCAGCCTCTCGACGAGTGGCTGGCCGGCGTGGGCCTCGTGCAGGAGTCTCGCGCGGCGGCGAAACCGCCCCAGGCCTCGAAGCCCGCGAAGCGCGCGTGTCGCGAAAGCCGCGAAAGCCGCCAAGCCCGCCAAGCCGGCCAAGCCCGCCAAGCCCTTTAAGCCCTTTCAGCCCGCCGTCGCCGTCGAACCCGAGCCCGCGTCCGCGCCGATGGTGCCCCAGGGCCGCCAGAGCAAGACGCACCTGAGCGCGACGGAGATCTCGCACGCGCGCGACGCGTTCCTGAAATTCGACCGCAACGGCGACGGCGAGATCGACGTCCACGAGGCCGCCGCGGGGCTCGGCGTGTCCTTCGACGACGCCAAGGTGCTCGTCATGGCCGTCGACGAGGACGACAGCGGCACGGTCTCCTTCTCGGAGTTTCTGATGATGCTCTGCCTGCGCGGCCACGGCGTCCACGGCGCGTGGGGCGCCGTCGCCTCGGGCGTCCGCGAGGCGGCCCACGCCTTCGACCCGAAGCAGAAGCGGGCGCTGTCGCTGCGCAAGATCCGCCACTACAGCGAGTGCTTCGCGCGCCTCGACCGCGACGGCGACGGCGAGGTCGACTCGCGCGAGATCCTGGCGGGCATGCACGTCATGGGCCTCAAGGCGACCGCGGCGGAGGTCGAGAAGCTCATGGACCAGTTCGACGACGACGGCGGCGGGAAGCTGAACCTCTGCGAGTTCCTGATGATGCTGTCCGCGAAGCGCGGGTCCGCGTGGCAGTTCAAGATCTTGGTCGACAAGATCGCGACGAACCTGACCAAGGCCCACGACCTCTCCTGGGACGAGCGGTCCGAGGCCGTCGCCCTCTTCGCCGCCATCGACGACCGCGGCGCGAACGCCGTGTCCGGCCGCGACGTTTTAGACTACCTCCGGAACTTCGCCCGGGACGCGCGGAGCCCGACGCCGCTCGTGCGCCTCCTCGCGTCCCTGGGCCCGAACAGCGACCTCAACGAGGGCAACACGCTCGACCTGCAGGACTTCCTCACGTGGGTCGGCGACCTGAAGCACGCGGACACGACGGAGTTCTCCGAGCGGAACCGCCTGCTCACGTGGCGCAACGAGCCGAGCCCGATGAAGCGGAACGCGAGCTTCTACGCCGCGCGGTCCTGCAAGTACGCGCCCCCGCCCGCGCCCGAGGACGTGGATTGGGCGGACATGGTCGACATGCTGCCCCTGGCGACGGCGAGCGAACGCCAAAATTTCGACGTCGCCGCGAACGGCCACCCCGCGGCGGCGCTGCTCCACCGCGGGTCCAACGGCGGCGACTCGCTGCTCCACTACTGCGCCCACGCGGGCGACGCGCGCGCCCTGGAGATCCTGCTGCGCCACGAGCCGCTCCGCGGCGCCGTCGGTGCGGTCAACGACGTCGGCCTCCACGCGTGCGCGCTGGCGCGCGACGCGGAGTGCGAGCGGCTCCTGCGGCCCTGGCTCAACTACTCCATCCAGAAGGCGGAAGCGAACCCGAAGCTCCGCGCGGACAAGGCCGACGGCTCCGCCGCCGCGGCCTACCGCCTGCGGCTCCACCGCGCCGCGAAGAAGGCCGTCTCCGCGGGGAAGCTCTTCCGGGGTAACTCCTAGCGGCCCGCCGGCTTTCTCTAGGGGGTGAGCCTTAGCCCATGACGCGCTTCGGTTCCTTGCCGCGGAGCCGGAGGGACACGTTGTCGAGGACCTGGACCGCGCCGAGGCCCTCGGCCTCCATGCGCCTGCCGAAGCCGACGGCGCGCTTGAGCGCGTCCGCGTCGATCTGGGAGATGGCGCTGCCCTTCTTCCGGTCGAGCTTCTCGTACCAGACGCAGCCGAAGCTGTTGTCGAGCATGACGCGCATGAAGCAGTGGTCGAAGCGGATGGGCCACTTGTGGGCCTTGGCGAGCGCCGGCAGCGCTTTTTTCGTGAGGCGCAGGTACTCGTCGACGAGCGTCGCGCGCGAGTCGGCCTCCGGCTCGCGCGCCGCCGGCGCGGCGGCGGCGTCGTCCGCCTTGGCCTTCCGCGGGCGCCGCGGCCGCGCCGGCGGCTCCGCCGGCTCCGCGTCCTCGGCCTTGCGCTTGCGCCGCGGCGCCGCCGCCGGCTCCGCGTCCTCGGCCCCGCGCGTGCGCCGCGGCGGCGCCGGCGCGAGGATCTCGCCGTGGCAGACGGCGACGACGGTGCGCTTCTCGTATTTCGATTGCGGATACAAGCCCCATCTGCCGTCGTCCATGGGCACGGGGGTACATGTACTCGCGCGTGCCGAGCTCCGGCGCCTCCGTCGCCTCGCGCCAGCCGTGGCGCTCGTAGTAGGCGCGGTTCTTCTCGAGGAGCTGCGCGCGGTGCGACGCGCGGAAGCGGCCGTCGCCGAGCCACGGCGGCCGCTCCCAGCGCGTCGGCACGGCCGCGCGCGGCATCGTCGGCCCGTTGGTCTTGCCGCGCGCCTCGTAGGCCTCGAGGCACGCGTTGTAGTACGCCGCGAGCGCGTCGCGGTAGCCCCGCCACGTGCGCGCCGCGCCGTAGGCCTCGAGCTCGAAGCCGCGGCCCTCGAGCCACTCGAGGACGAAGCGCGCTTCCGTGCGCTGGTTCTGCAGGCGCTTGTCGTCCAAGCTGAGCGCGGACTGCAGGAAGTCCTCGAGGGGCAGGAAGGTCATCATCTTAGAGCTGCGCGCTGCGAGGCGTCGGTGCACGAGCAATGCGTGTGTCGCGGTTGACGGCGGTGGCGGCTGCGCTCTGCGAGGCGTCGGTGCAAGAGCAATGCGTGTCGCGTCTGCGCGAGGCGTCGGAATGCGTGTGTCGCGGTTGACGACGCGGTGCGACGGCGGTGGCGACGGTGCTTCCTTCGGCCGCCACCTCACCAGTTGGTGCTCCTTCGAAGCTTCGAATGATGAAGCGACCGAGCACTCCGCACGATAAAAAAGCTTCTAAAGAAAAAGCTCTTACCCAGGCGCCTCGACGCGGTCGAACACGGCGACCGTCTCCACGTGCCGCGTGCTCGGGAACATGTCGAAGGGCTGGACGTCGCGGCACGCGTAGGGCCCCGCGAGGAGCCGCGCCGCGTCGCGCGCCTGCGTCGCCGGCTCGCAGGACACGTAGACGATCCGCTTCGGCGCGAAGGCCAGGAGCCGCCCGAGGAAGCGCGCGTCGAGGCCCGCGCGCGGCGGGTCGACGACGACGACAGCATCGACTCCCGCGCCCTTTGGGAAGCGGAACTTGGACGCGTCGGCGACGCGGAAGTCGCACGAGACGCCGTTCGCCGCCGCGTTCCGCCGCGCGCTCTCGATCCCACCGACGTCGAAGCCGTGTACGGCGCAGTCGTGCGCCTTGGCGATGGCGACGGCGAAGAGCCCGACGCCGCAATAAGCGTCGACGGCGACTCGAAAGCCCGCGCAGCGGTCGACGACGTGGCGCACCAGCAGATCCGCTACGCCCGCGTTGATCTGGAAGAAATCCGAGGCTTTGAAAGAGAAAGTCAACCCCGCGATCCTTCGCTCCACGAGCGTCTCCGGCGCCGTGGCCACGCGGCCGTCCTCCGAGAGCCGGAGCAGCGGCGGGCACCGCTCGCCGGACGCGCGCGTCGCCGCGTAGGCGTCGGCGATCTCCGCGCGCGCCAGCAGGCACGTGTGCACGTCCACGAGCGCGCCGCCCCGCGTCGCGGCGAAGCCCGTCGCGCCGTTGGCGCTCCGCGGCGTCAGCTTGTCGCGGTAGCCCGTCTCCGCGTCCGTGCCGACGACCTCCGCGACGCGGATCGCGGCGGCGTCGCCGCCGACGAGCGTCGCCGTCTCCGCGCGGGGCCGCCCGGGGAAGGCGACGCGCCGCCAGGCGTCGACGACGTGCTGGCGCTTCCAGCGGCGCTGCGCGTCGAGCGACAGGTGCTGGTACTGGCAGCCGCCGCAGCGCCCAAAGTACTCGCACGCGGGCTCGCGGCGGTCCGGCGACGGCCGCTCGACGGCGAGGAGCGTCGCTTCCGCGGCGCGCTTCTTCTTCTTCTGCGCGACGATCTTCGCCGTGATCTGGTCGCCGGGCGCCGCGCCGTCCACAAAGACAACGAGGCCGTCGTGCAGAGCGATGCCGGCGCCGCGATTGCTGAGCGCCGTGATCTCCAGCGACACCGTGCTGAGCGCGCGACGCAGCATCACTCAAGAGCGCAGCACCAGTGAACGTGCGTCAAGAGGGCTGGCGCAGGGAAGGGGGCTCTCAGCTGCAGAGGACAAGCAGAGGTCCATAATCATGGTCTTCATCTTCAAGTTTCCTTCAACATGACATACAAGAGGTACAAACTCCCGTCGCGAAATGCTAGCTCGCAATGGGAATGGGGCGCGCGGCCGGAGCGGGCGTACCGCGAAGGAAGGGCGCGGACTCACGCGACGACCGTGACGTCCGCGCAGGACGCCCAGATCTGGTCGCTCTCCTCGCAGTCCCAGCGCCACTGGAGCACGTAGTCGCCCGGCGCGAGGTCCGCCGGGATCATGACCTCGTCGACGACCTCGAGGTTCGGGAGGAGCGGCCCGTTGTTGCTGTAGCCGCTGCACTTGCACGTGCCCTGCGGCGCGCCGAGGCCGTGGGAGAAGCCGCGGATGCAGTCCTCCGACTCGTCGCAGACCGGCGCGAAGGCCGGCCCCTCGCGCTGCCAGAGGCCGCTGGGGATCGGGTTCTTGCGCCACGTCGAGCCCGCGGGCACCGTGCCGACGCGCGTCTCCCAGCCCCGGGCCTTGGCGTCGAAGGCCAGCTGCGTGGCCTTGTCGCCGCCCCAGCGGAGCGCCGAGTCGCCGACGAAGTCGAGGGCCAGCTTGCGGAAGTTCGCCTCCGTCAGGGGCTCGTCCGCGCGCGCGAGGCGGTACGCGTAGCCGCCGCCGTGGTTCGCCATGACCGTCCAGCCGACCTCCTGCGTCTCCCCGGCCTTCCACGTCGCGGCGCTGGGCCCCTTGGGGATCGTCGAGCCCGCGTCGCCCTGCGCGAAGAGCGACGAGTTCTGGAACTGCGCGCCCGCGGGCCCGATGCCCTGGCCGGGGAAGCGGCCGCCCGCGGAGCCGCACGCGTCGATGACCGGCGCCGAGCCCGGCGCGCGCCAGGGCGAGTGGTAGTAGAAGTCGTCGGGGCCGCCGCACTCCGCCTGCGTGTTGCACGTGCGGAGCCGCGGGTCGCAGACCGTCGCCTTCGTCGCCGGCGCGGCGCAGTTCGACGTGATGTTGAATTTGTAGCTCCCCTCGAGGACCTACCAAGTGCGACGGGGTCGGATTTCTTCACATCTTCAGGCAAAATTCACGCGAAAAAACACTCCTGTCGCTCCACGCTGTCGAGGACCATGGTGCCCGGCGCCGGCTCGAAGGGGTTCCCGATGGTCAGATTCGCTTTCTTGATCTGCGAGGCGTTGAGCCCCATGTAGAGGAACTGCTGGCCGCCGTGGCCGACGTGGTTCGTCGTGCCGTCGCACGCGTCGCAGCCGATGGTGCACCCGTTGGAGAACCAGTAGCACGCCTGGCCGTTGGACGCGTTCAACGCGTCGGGGTGGCCCGCGACGTGGGCGCTCACGGGGCAGGAGCCCTGGCACTCCGTGCCGTCCTCGCAGAAGGTGATGATGCAGGACCCGTTCTCGTGGCGCTCGTCGCAGGGGTAGGCCCAGTCGCTCCAGGGCGCCAAAGCGCCGTCGAGCGCCTGGCGCGGCTTCGGGAACGTCATGGCGCCGTGGCCGCGGGCCAGGGTCGCCAGGGAGGCGCAGAGCAGCGCGCGCATGGCCATGAAATTCGAAGAGCGCGCTTCAAACAAAACCGCGAAGGGCCAACTTGAACTTCAAGAAAGACAACAGTACGCAATTACGTCTACGCGCGCGGGGTGGGGGTCGGGATGGGGAGGGTCTCCGAGCTCGGCGCGGCGCGGTAACTTGGGGCGCGGCGCTCGAGGAGGGTCGTCGGTTCACGCGGCCTCCGGCTCGCGGGGCGACGCGCTCTGCTTCGGCGGCATCGTGCGGACCATGCTCACGCGCTTCGAATGCTGCACGTTGGCGTTCTCGAGCTCGCGTTTGCGGGAGTCGGCCTCGTCCTGCTTGCGCTGCTTCGCGGCTTCGCGCGCCGCGAGCTGCTCCGGCGCGAGCGCCATCTCCGATTTGGCCGCGACCATCGAAACGCGCGCTCTGTACTGCGTATTCTCCGCGTCCATGGCCTTGCGTTTCTCCTCCGACTCGCTCCGCTTCCGCGTCGCGACGGCCTCGCGCGCCGCGAGCTGCTCGGGCGTCAGCGAAAACTCCGACTTGGCCGTCGCCGAGCTCAGGTTCTCCGAATGCTTCGCGTTCGCGGCGTCTAAGCGCCGCTTTTTTTCCTCCGCCTCGGCCTTTTTTCGGGTTGCGACGGCCTCGCGCGCGGCCTCCTGCTCCGCCGTGAGCGCCATCTCCGATTTCGCCGTCATCGACCTCAGGTTCTCCGAATGCTTCGCGTTGGCCGCTTCGAGTTGCCGGCGCTTCTCCTCCGACTCGCTCCGCTTGCGCGTCGCGACGGCCTCGCGCGCCGCGAGCTGCTCGGGCGTCAGCGAAAACTCCGATTTCGCCGTGGCCGACGACAGCTTCGTGCTGTGGCGCAGATTCGACGCCTCGAGTCTCCGGCGCTTGTCCTCGGCCTCCTGCTTCTTGCGGAGCGCCGCCTCCTCGCGCGCGGCGAGCTGCTCGGACGTCAAAGCGTGGCTGCTCTTGCTCTTTGTGGACGCGAGCTTCTCCTTCATCATGGCGTTGTGCTGGCGGATCGCCTCCTCTTGCGCGGCCTTCTTCGCGCGCCGCTCGGCGGCCGTGAGCTTGGCGCTCGAGGGGCGCGCTGACGCGCGGCCCGCGCCGAAGGAGCTCTGGCGGGCGCCGAACGTACTGCGCAGCTTCGAAACGTGGCCGGGCTTCGTTGATCTCGCGATCGAGGACGTGCGCGGGCTCGTCGCGCTCGACGCGTTGCCCTCGGCGGGGGGCTGCGGGCCGCCCATGCTCCCCGGCGTCCTAAACAGTGAGAAGCACAAAGCTTTGTCAGGAGAGCGGATGCACTTCACAGCAGCGCCGAAACCGCTGAGGAAAGAATCCTTCTACCAAAACATAGATAAACATTGAAGGGAACCTTACCTTTTCAAGCGCCTTAAGCACGCGACTCAAACAACTGAAGGGAATGTTACCTCAATCACACAAGCGTCTCCTTAGACGAGGGATCCTAGGACGCCGCCGGCGACACGAGGGCGTCCAGCGACGACACGAGGGACAGGCGCGCCTTGTCCGGCGTCGCGAGGGCCGGGCCCTTGTTTGCCCGCCGCGGCGCCGCGGCGAGCGCGACGTGGCGCCGCTTCGCCGCCGCGGCGAGGGCCTGGAGCTCCGCGACGTCGGCGCTCCTGAAGCCGTCGCGCGCGTAGAGCGGCGCGGCCGCGCGCCGCGCGTAGGCCCCCGCGACGCCGAGCTGCGCGAGCCGTCGGAAGACCGCGTCGCTGCGGTCGTCGCACGCGATCTCCGGGAAGCAGCGGTCCTCGGCCAGAAGCGCGTCGAGCGCGACGGCGCCGAGGAAGACGCGCGTCGGCCGGGCGGTGGCCACGAGGCGCGCCACGAGCTCCTCGTCGAGGCCCACGTAGGACCCGGAGCCCGGCGGGCCCGGCAGCTCGCGGACGCAGAGCGGCGACACCACCACCGCGCGCGCCTCGGCCGCGCGCGCGACGGCGACGTCCGCCTCGAGGGCGATGCGGTCCCACTCGGGCAGCGTCGTCCACCGGTGCTGGGTCCAGTCCGGCCGCGCGTGCGCGACGAGGTCGCAGTCGCCCGAGACCTCGCGGAGCCCCGCGGCCGCGACGACGACGGCGCCCGCGTCCGCGCCCTCGAACTCGACGCGCCGCGCGCCGCTCCGCGCCAACCGGATCGCCGCGTCGCAGTCCGGGGCGATCTCCGCGAGGGCCGGCTCCGCGAGGTCCTCGGACGTCTCCGACTTCGTCGCGGACTCGCCCGCCAAGCCGTCGTCCGACGGCGCCGGCTCCTCGGCGGCCCTCTCCGCGAAGGGCCGGCCGAGGGGCTTCGCCGGCGGCGGCTCCGCGGCGGCGCCCCGCGTCTTCACCTTGCGCTGGAGCATGGCGTCCGGCAGCGCGAGCGCGCGCGACCCGTCGGGCAGGAGGTGCCACTCGCCGGCGAGGACGACCTTGTTCGGCGCGCCCGTGAGCACCGCGTGCCCCCCCCGCGGCATGATGAGCATGGACTCGCCCGCGCGGAACTCGTCGTACTGCAACGCCCCCCGCGCGAGGCACTCGTGGAGCGCCGACGCCTCGAAGGCGACCAGGCGCGCGTCGCAGTCGCGGCTCCAGCCGAGGCCGTTGTTCACGAGCGACTCGCGCATCGCGTGCAGCACGACGGCCACCTCCCGGGGCACGCCGAGCACGCGGTTCAGCCCGGAGAGCGTGTGGTAGAGCACGGCCTGGACGCCGAAGTCGCAGTGCGTCGGCGTCAAACCGCCCTCCCAACCGACGATGAGGTAGTGGCGCCGGTCCTCGTCGCCCGCGAGCGTGTCGCCCATGGGCCCGAAGCGCCAGCCGTCGTGGGCCGGGCAGATCTCGTGCATGCCCGCCACGGAGGCCAACGCGTCGCAGTACTTCTGGAGCTTCCCGCCGTTCGCGACGCGCGTGTCGAGAGCCACGCACCGCGCCGTTTCCGCGACGGCGCCGCCGCCGGCGACGAGCGCGTCCAGCCCGTCGAAGGACTTGATGCCGAAGCCGCCGGCGATGGTGTTGACGTGGTAGGCGCCCGGGTTCGTCGGCTCGATCTCGCCCCGGAGGCCCCGGACGCGCTCCAAGGAATCGAGCGCCAGGGCCTGGCTCGGCGGCGGCCGGCACGAGCTCGCGCCCCGCGGCCGCTTCGCCGGCGCCGCCCGCCGCGGGGGCGGCTTCGTCTCCTCCGCCTCGTCGCCCTTCTTCGCCGCGCGCCGCGGCGGCGGCTTCCGCGGGGGCGCGCGCGTCGCGCGCAACCCGTCGTCCAACTTCTCGCCGGGGCGCGCGTCGACGCAGAGCCGCACGATCTGGGGCTCCTCGTGCGCCGGCCGCACGCGCTGGAGCGCGTCGTCCAGCGCCGCGTGGGCCACGGGCCAGAGCCGGCTCAGGTTGCCGCGGTCGAAGGCCTCCTGGAAGAGGCGCAGGCACCGCTCGTATTCGAGCTCCGACACCAGGCTCGTCGCGGCCTCCGCGCCGTTGAAGCCGCCGAAGGCGCGCGTCTCCCGGACGGCGGCGCCCTTCTTCTTCTTGGGCTCTTCCGGCCTGAAGTTCTCGGACACCCAGTCCGGGTCCAAAGGCGCCGGAGCCACCAATCCGGCGACGAGCGCGCGCGCTTCCGCGCGCGTCACCGACGGCGCGCGCGACACGGCGCCGCCCTCGTCCCTCACGCGCTTCGCCGCGTCGAAGACCTGGGCCAACGGCAAACCGGCGTCCGTCGACTCGCCCGCGGCGCCGCGGTGGCCGCCGCGCGTGGCGGGGGCCGCGCGGCTTTGCGACGGGCTCGCGGGAGTCCCGGACGCGGGGTCGCGGCGCGGCTCCTTGCCGCCGAACTTGCCCGCGGTCGAGGGCGCCGCGGGCGGCCGCGGGCTCCGCGTGCGCACGCGCTTCGCCGGCGCGGCGGCCGCGGGCTTGCGGTTGCGCTTCACCGTCATCTTCTTCTTCCGTCTCGGCGTCTTCTTCTTCGGCGGGTCGTACTTTCGCACGAGGAGCAGGTCGGAGCCGTCGGCCGCGCAGGAGCCGGCCATGGAGAAGGCGCCGAAGGCGTTGGCGCCCGTCGCCGAGATGGCGATGCGCGGGCCGTCGGGCGCGAAGCCAAAGGCCGCGGACTCCTCGACGGTCCGCGGGCCCGCGGGCGTCGCGAGGTCGAAGCTTCCGGCGAACGTCCGTCCGCGAGGCGGCCGCCGCCGGCCGCGGGCGCGTAGCGGAAGGGCGACGTCGTCGCCGCGCCGCGGCCGAAGCCCCAGCGGCCGACCATGTCGCCCGCCTCGGTGATGGAACCAGAGAGCACGGCGTTGTTCGGGTCGTCGGCGTCGGCGGTTTCGGGAGCATCCGAGGGCTCGGGCGCCGCGTCGGCGTCGGCGGCGTCGTCGTTCTCGGGTGCCGCGTCGGCGTCGGCGTCGTCGTCCTCCTCGGGGGGCTCCTCGACGCCGGGCGCCGCGGCGCCGCCGTCGCCGGGGGCCGCGGCGCCGTCGTCTTTCGGGTCGTGCGCCTCGCTCCCGCTCGTCGGCGTCGTCGCCCCGGGGCTGCGGTCGTCGTCGGGCTCGGACGCGGGCGTCATGACGTCGTCGACGGCCTCGGCGGCCTCGCTGACGTCGTCGACGACCGCCTCGGCGGCCTCGAGCATCGTGTTGACTGCAGGCGCACGAGGCCCGAGCCGAGTGCCGAGATGCCGGAGTCGCAGAGCTTCGAGAAGCCGATGGCTGCTTCATCTCCGACTCGATGCTGTCGACGCGCGGCGGCGCAGTCGTCGCGTCGTGAATTAATTCAGCCCGCGCAGTGCGCCGGCATCGCGTCTCGCTCGACGCGCAGACACGTCGACCATGACCTCCATGTTCATGGTATCCGGCGAGCAGGAGATCATCCCCGACGACGCGTCCATCGCGACGACCGAGGCCGACACGCCGGTGAACGGCTCCGCGCGGCGCATGTCCTACGACACCAACGACCCGAGCGACGGGCGGCGGAAGCAGGGCCGCGTCTACCGGCTCCAGCCCGCCGTGAAGCAGTAAGACAACGGCGTCAAATCGACGCGCCACCGCGCGCGCGCGACGCGCCCGAAACCGCCAGGTACGCGTGGGGCATCCGCGGCGCCGACAGCCGCGTCGCGCGCTACGGCGTCGAGAGCGGCAGCGTGCGCGCCATCGACCAGTCGGCGCCCTACGCCGAGCTCTGGCTCGGCACGCACCCCAGCGGCCCGTCGCTCCTCGACGACGGCACGGAGCTCGGCAAGGTGGTCAAGAACGGCCAGCTCCCGTGGCTGCTGAAAGTCCTGAGCGCGGGCAAGTGCCTGAGCATCCAGGCCCACCCGGACAAGGCCCTGGCGAAGCGGCTCCACGAGACGCGGCCCGACGTCTACAAGGACGACAACCACAAGCCCGAGATGGCCATCGCGCTCACGCCTTTCGAGGCCATGTGCGGCTTCCGCCGCCTCAGCGAGATCGCGGTGCACCTGCGCAAGCACCCGGAGTTCGCCGCCTGCATCTCTACGGAGGCGCAGCTCGGCGTCTTCATGGCGTCGAGCCTGGACGTGGGCGGCCAGAAGCGCGCGCTCCACGGCCTCTTCGAGTCGTTCATGGCGTGCGACGCGGCGACGTCCCGGGCCCAGCTCGAGAAGCTCGTCGGTCGCCTGCGCCAGCAGCAGTCCTGCGCCTTCCGCACGTCGGGCGCGAACCACATCAACCCGGCGCTCTCCGACGCGACGCCGGGCGTGCCGGGCGGGCCCGACGCCGCGGCCGTCACGGAGTCCGCGTGGGAGCGCAAGGCGTCGCGCGCGATCCTGCGCCTCGAGGAGCAGTTCCCGGGCGACGTCGGCGCCATGGCGCCCCTCTTCCTCAACTACCTCCTCATCGCGCCGGGCGAGTCCTTCTTCATGGCCGCGAACGAGCCGCGAGGATCCCGCGTCGGGTCTCGGGGTTCGGCGAGAGAGCGAGGGAGCGCGCCGCCGTACGCGCCTCGTCTCGGGAGCGCGCCGCCGTACGCGCCTCGTCTCGGGAGCGCGCCGCCCTTCCGCGCCCCGCGCCGCGCCCGACGCGCCGTCCGCTCGCAGGCACGCCTACGTCGCGGGCGAGATCCTCGAGTGCATGGCCTGCAGCGACAACGTCGTCCGCGCCGGGTTGACGCCGAAGCACAAGGACGTCGAGAACCTCGTCGACATGCTAAGCTACACCATGGGCGGGCCCGACATCGAGTTCGGCCGCCTCGTGCACGTCGGCGAGGGCACGCGGACGCTCTGCTACACGCCGCCCGTGCCCGAGTTCGAGGTGCTCATCACGACGGTCGAGCCCGGCGCGTCGTACGAGATCGCGCCGTGCGAGGTGCCGTCGATCCTCATCTGCATCGAGGGCATCGGCCACACCGTGTCCGCGCCGGGGCCCGACGGCGTCGAGCCCCAGCGGAAGCACCAGTACGAGCTCTGCCCGGGCAAGGCGCTCTACGTCACCGCGGGCACCATCGCGCTCAACCTCGCGACGTCCGACGGGTGCAAGGGGCCCCTCAAGGTCGCGCGCGCGCGGTCGAACCTCACCATGCTCGGCAAGTCCGAGGACGCGTAGATTGCACCGCGCGCCGTAATTTCAGCGACCTTCCCGACGGCCGGGCCGCCCTCCGAGTCGGGGTTTTCGACACAACTAGCCGCCGCGGCCGTAATTCCAGCTCGAGCGTCGGGTCCACGCAGCCAGCGGCCGTCGCCCCCTTCCCATGGCCGCCCGACACACATTTTTGGTGCGTGCGAGCACCCGCTTTACTTGCTCATGTCGTCCGCGCGCGCGTTCGCCGCGGCGACGGCGGACATGGCCGCGAAGCGGAAGCCGTTCTTCTCGAGGGCCTCGACGCCGGCGATGGTCGTGCCCCCCGGCGAGCAGACCTGGTCCTTGAGCACGCCCGGGTGCTTGCCCGTCTCGAGCTGCATCGCCGCGGCGCCCTTGACCGTCTGCGCCGCGAGTTTCAGAGCGACGTCGCGCGGCAGCCCCGCGCGGACGCCCGCGTCCGCGAGCGCCTCGACGAAGAGGAAGACGTAGGCCGGCCCGCTGCCGGAGACGGCCGTGACGGCGTTGAGCAGCTTCTCGGGCACGTCGACGACGGTGCCCGCGAAGAGGCCGCGCGCGGCCGCCGCGTCCGCGTCCGTCGCCCGCGCGCCGCGCGCGACGCCCACGGCGGCCTCGCCGACGAGGCAGGGCGTGTTCGGCATGGTGCGCACGACGCGCACGTCCCAGGGCTCGAGCGCCGCCTCGATGGCACCGATGGTCACGCCGGCCGCGATGCTGACCACCAACTTGCCGTTCGCCGACGGCGCGAGCGCGCGCAGCGCGTCGCCGACGACGCCGGGCTTGACGGCGACGACGATGACGTCGCAGGCCGCCGCGACGGCGGCGTTCGACTCCGTCGTCGCGATGCCCGACGCCGCGGCGCGCTCGCGGCACCCGGCGTAGGGGTCCGACGCCATGAGGCGGCTCGCGTCGACGCCGCGCTTCAGCAGGCCCTGCATGATGGCCGTCGCCATGGCGCCGGCGCCCACGAAGCCGATCTTCTTGCCGTCGAGCGCCGACATTGGGTGTTTGCTCCTGTCGTTGCCGTTGGAGATGGCGAGCTGCACTGAATCGATCAGGGGCCTGCAACAATGCTGCAAGTTTAAGTCAACGAACTGACTTTTACCACAAACCCCTACCCCACGATCATGCGCATGATGCTCGCGGCGAGCTCGTGCTGGATGGCCGCGAGACCCGGGCGCGGCGGCGGCGCGGCCGCCGCGCACGCGAGCACGTCGCCGTCGTTTTCCGGGCCCCGGGTCGAGCACGAGGACGACGCGCCGCGACGGCCAGTCGCAGCACGCGCAGGGCGGCGGCGGCGAGCGGTGCACCGCCGCGGAGCGCTGGCCGCGCCAGAGGCGGCCGACGAGGAGGACCGCGTCGCCGGCCCTGGCGTCGTACGGCGGCGCGGTACCGGTCGCGTCGAGGAGCCGCGTGTAGGGCGATTCGCTCTCGTGATCGACCGCGTCGTCGGGCAGCACCTGCGTGCCGCGGCCGGCCAGCGTCGCGATGCACCGGGCCTGCACCGTGTCCGCGTGGAACTTGGGGCACGGCTGCGACGCGCGCGCGTCCTCGACCCGGCTCACGTGGAGCCGCGCGTCGACGCCGCGCGCGTCGCAGGCCCGCGCGAGCTCGCCGCTGAGCTTGGCGATGCAGTCGACGAGGCTCGCCTGGTGCTCGTCGGCGAGGCCGCGCAGCGCGGGGAGGAGCTGGGCGCGGAGTCGCTCGGCGGTCGCTTCGGCGTCGCGGGCTTCGGGGAGCACGCACTTCCAATCCGTCGGAGGAACGGCGTCCCAGGCATCCGTGGGCACGGCGTTCGCGGCATTCTCGACGACGATGGCTTGCTTGCCGAGATCGAGCTGCGCGTCGACCGCCTGGAAGTCCTCTCGAAATGCAATGTTCGCTGGCGCGGCGATGCGGCACGGTTTCGCAATCGGCGTGCCGACCTGCAGCGGCAGCGTCTTGGAGACTATTTCCAGCGCGCTAACGGATGCAAGCAGCAACGCTACTGTCGCGTACATGGTCGAAGGCGCGCGCTGGCTCGTTTTTAAGACCTTTGTGGCCAAGAGATCGATTTTCTTCTGGAGAGTCAACTTGCACTCAAGTTGACCCTGACGAGCCGACAGCCACGGGCCTGATGCGCCGCGCGCTCGCTGTCGCGCTCCTGCTCGGCGAAGCCGCCCGCCGATGGTACGACACATACGGCTACGACGACGCCTCTCGGCCCCGCCGCCGATCGCGACCGTGACCGCGGACGTGTCAAAACAAAACGCGCTTACGACCGCGACGCGCGACGTCCAATTTAAACAAAACGCGCTTACGACGACGCCGCGACAACCACGTCCTCCCCCACGTCGACGGCCACCGTCGCTCGCCGCCGCGGCGCGAGGTAGGCCGCCGCGGCCGCGGCGGAGATCTCCGCGAGGCCCTGCCGGCCGAAGATCTGCTCCGCGCGGCGGAGGCCGTGCGGGTACGCGGCCTTGAAGATGTCGAAGTCCGGGTCGCCGGAGATGGCGATGCCCTCGAGGATGATGAGCGCCCGCGTGATGAGCGCGAAGAAGTCGGGCACGCGGAACGGGTAGTTGAAGAAGATGTCGTTGAGGTCCGCGGAGACGGCCGCGAACTCCTTGCGCCGCTTCTTCACGGCGGCGACGTCCGGCGACGCGCGCGCGGCGAGCCGCGCGTCCTCGAAGACGCGCGAGAGCACGGGGTACAGCGCCTCCTTGTCGACGTCCGCCGGCAGGAAGTCGAGCGCCACGGCGTCGTCGATGAGCGCGGGCACCGCGCCCTGGATGAGGTGGACGACGGCCTTGGTCAGCGCCTCGCGCTCGCCGACGTCGATCTCCGTGCACAGCCCGAAGTCGATCAGCGCCAGGCGGCCCTGGGCGTCCACGAGCAGGTTGCCCGGGTGCGGGTCGCAGTGGTAGGTGCCCACGTCGAGCATCTGCCACATGAAGAGCTCGACGCCCAGAGGCACCAACCGCGCGATCTCCGCCTTCGACGCGCGGCAGAGCTGGTCGCCGTCGACCCAGTCCGTCGCCAGCACCTTGCGGCTCCGGAGCCGCACGGCGGGGATGTGCACGTTCCGTCGGAGGGTGCGCGAGGTCGCGAGCGCGAGCTTCGCGGCCATGTCCTCCTGGTTCGCCGCCTCCGCCTCGTAGTCGAGCTCGGACCACGCGCCTCGCGAGAAGGCCTCGACGAGCGCCTCGTCGTAGGGCCGCTGTTTCGGCACCAGGAAAACCTTCGCGCGCTCCACGAAGCGCGCCCACTTGCGGAGCAGGGCGAGGTCCAGGGACACCGCCGCGATGACGTTTGGCCGCTGGACCTTGAGCGCGACGGTCCGTCCCTCGAGCTCGACCTTGTAGACCTGGCCGAGGCTCGCGGCCGCGACGGGCGGCGTCGACGCGTCGAGCCCGCCGAAGGCCATCGCGCCGACCTCCGCCTCGATGGTCGCGAGCGCCGTCGTCGTGGGAACCGCCGGCACGGCGTCGCACAGGCTCCGCAGCTCGTCCAACGCCGCGGCGGGCACGACGTCCGGCCGGATGCTCAGCGCCTGGCCGAGCTTGATGAAGGCCGGCCCGAGGGCGACGAGCGCGTCGCGGCCCTGGATCGCGCGCGCCCGCAGCCGCGCGTCGCGCGCGGCCTTGGCTTCGTCGCGCGGCGCGGTGGCGTAGTCCGCGGCGAGCCCGCCGAGCACGGGCGCGACGGTCCGCGCGATGGCGCAGGCCCGGCCGAGCGTCGCGAAGGGCCGCGCGTCCCAGTAGGCCTCGATCGCGGCGCCGTCCCAGCGCCGCGGCAGGTCCTCCTCCCGCGACGGCATTTCGCTGGCGTAGCCGAAGCCCAGCACCGCCGACGCGCCGCCGAGCGCCGCGGCGCTGACCGCGCGCCGCGAGGTATGCAGCATCGCTTTTTGTTGGCAGCGGCGCGGCTGTCCTTGTGCACGCGCCGAACCGACGCGGCCGGGGACGAGCCGATGAGCTGGCCTGTGAGAGTGAGGCTCTCCGTGTTGAAGGCAACGATCCCTCACGTTACCCCTCCCAGCGCCCCGCGTTCTCGAAGAGCACGTCCGTGCGCAGGACGTGCTTCGTCGCGCCGCGCGCGACGCTGCCCTCGTGGAGCGGCGACGCCCGGTGGTGGCCGTGGAAGAAGAGGAGGCACGCGCCGAGCTTCGGCGCGACGGCGACTTTCCCGTAGTCGTCGCCGTCGCCCTTGACGAAGAACGTCGTCTCGCCGCCGTCGAAGTCGTCGTTGAGGTAGACGATCGCCGTGAGCCAGCTCAGGGCGTCGTCGCCGTGGCCAAAGTCCGGCGCGTCGACGTCGCAGGGCTGCCACGCCGTGTCGTGGTGCGGCTGCACCGAGTCGCCGTCCGCGTAGCGCAGGAAACGGCACTTCGCGTTGAGCCCGCGAAGCGCGCCGGGCACGGGGATCGCCTTCTTCGCCGGAGCAGCGCCGTTTTGCGTCCTGGACCCGGCGCTCATCCAGGCCGCGGTGCCCCGCGCGGGCGCGAACGGCAGGACGACGTTGAGCGCGGAGCGGATCGCCGCGTCCGCGTCGACGAAGACGCACTGCTGCGTCGCGTTGCGCCGCAGCGCGTCGCCCTTGTCCAGTTCGGCGACGCGCAGCCCCATGGCCCGCGACAGGGTCACGAGCGCGGCGCACTGGGGCGGGGAGAGGACGTCGCTCGCGAGGAACGCGCCGTCGACGCCCGCGACGTCCTCGACGGCCGGCGGACGGCGCCGCGCGGCCGCGCCCGCCGGCAGCGCCGCGAGGGCCCCCGTTCTCGCGCCGGGCAGGTAGAACACGGGCACGGACGCGTGGCCGCTGCCGCCGCCGCCGCAGTCGTGGCCGCCGGCGACGCGGAGCCCGGCGGCGACGGCCTCGGGCGTTTCGAGCGCGCCTCCGTCGTGCGGCTCAAAGACGTCGCGCCGCGGCGCCGCGGCGCTGGCCCAGGGCGTGACCGCCGGCTCCCGCCGCGCCGCGGGCTGCTCCTCGACGGCCGTCGCCGTCGCGACGAGCTCCAACGTTTTCGCCGACGCCCAGCCCGCGACGGGGTCGACGAGCCTCACGCGCGGTGTGCCGTCGGTCGCCGTCGCCTCGGCGTCGACGACGACCTCCATGCCCTTGGCGAGCTTGAGCACGAGGCCCGAGCTCTTCTCGACGCCGCCGCGCACGATGGCGCCCTTGGGCTGGGAGCAGACCATGACGCGCGGCGGCGACAGGCGCGTCACCGGCGTCGCGAACCAGACCATGGGCCCATGCTCCGGCGGCAGGCCGAGGCTCCGCTTTTTCGGCCGGCGCTTCTTCGGCGACGGCGCGGGGCCCGCGGCGGCGACGCGCTCCGCGAGCGCCGCGACGGCGACCTTGTACTCGGCCATCTCCGCGGCGGCGGCGCTCTCGGCGAGCTCCAGCGCCGTCTCCGGCGCCATGGCCGTGGACGGCGCCGCGGCCATCCCTGGAGCGAGCGGCGCCGGTGGCGGCGCAGCGATCATGGCGCAGCGATCACTGGCGGCCGAAGCGAGAGGCGCCCATAAGAAAGTGCATCACTGGAGCATCTTGCCTTCCATCGATCGATGTTTGCTTACGCGCTACCTCGCGGCGACGGCGGCCTTCGCCGGCTGAACCTCCGCGGCCGATTCGTTTTTGGAGCACAGGTCCGGCAGGTGCTTCTTGTCGAGCGCGCCCTCGCTGTCGAGGCAGACGGCGGTGACGCGGAGCACGCGGCGCTCGTCGGCGTCCGTGACCGTGAAGTCGTAGTTGTTGACGATGATGTGGTCGCCCTCGCCGGGGATCTCGCCCGCGTGGAAGCAGAGCCAGCCCGCCGCCGTGGTCACGTCCGGGAAGGCGTCCGCGTCGAGCTCCGCGCCGTCGTCGTCGCGGAGGACGAGGACCTCGACCAAATCGTCGAGCGCCGCGTCGCCGCGGATGTCGTAGGTGCGGTTGTCGGCCCGCAGCGTCACGTATTCCGACAAATCGCGCTCCTCCGTGTCGTCCTCGTCGTAGATCTCGCCGACGACGACCTCGAGGATGTCCTCCAGCGTCACCATGCCCGCCGTGCCGCCGTACTCGTCGACGACGATGGCCATGTGGAGCCGGCGCCGCCGCATCTCCTCGAGCACCTTCCAGGCGAGCATGGTCTCGGGCACGAAGTAGGTCTCCTCGACGAACTCGGCCACGAGGACGTCGTCGATGGGCTGCGCGTCCGCGTCCTTCTTCACCATGAACTTGAGCAGCTTCTTCGCGTTGACGACGCCGACGATCTTGTCGATCTCGTCGTCGTAGACGGGCACGCGGCTGTGGCCCGTGGCGTTGACGAGCCGCAGCAGCTCGAGCATCGTCGCGTTCCGCTCCAAAGCCTTGACGTTGACGCGCGGCTGCATGATCTCCGCGACGCGCGTGTCCTGCAAATCCAGCACGCCCTCGATCATCTCGCCCTCGTTGGTCTCGATGCCGCCGCTCTCGCTCGCGCCGCCGATGATTAAACGCAGCTCCTCCTCGCTCACGGCCTCGGCGCTGCCCTCGTTCTTGATGAGGCCGACGAACTTGAGCGTCTTCTTCGACAGGCCCGCGAAGCCGATGGCGACGGGCCCGAGAATCTTCGTCATGATGTTGATGGGCGGCGCGAGCAGCCGCGCCGTGCGCTCCGCGTTGTTGACGCCGATGGCCTTGGGCAGGAGTTCGCCGAAGAACAGCGTGCCCGCGGTGAGCATCGCCGTCGCGTACGCGAGCTTCCGCGCGCTGCCGCCGCAGACGGACACGGCCATGTCCGCGAAGAGCGCCGTCGAGGCGATGTTGCAGCACGTCGTCGCGACGAGGATCGTCGTGAGCACGCGCGTGATGTCGCGGTCGAGGAGCGCGAACGACGACTTCGGGCCCTCGGCCGTCGCGAACTCCTTGACCTTCCAGGGGTAGAGCGTCGTGATCGCCACCTCGGCGGCGTGGAGCAGCGCCGACGTGCAGAAGAGCGCGCCGAAGATGCACGCCTTGCGCGACAGCGCCGACAGCGCGAGCGCCGTCCCGGCGACGGGGTCGCCCGCCGCCGCGGGCACGGCGAGGCCCACGCCGACGCGCACGCGCGACCGCTGGGGCTGCGTCGCACGCGCGGGGCACCGGAGGCCCGCGGGGGTCTGCAGGGCCGTCGCGGACAGCGCCGCGCAGAGGACCGCGCAGAGGAGGTTCATTCCAGTCCTCGAGCTCATCGCGCTTTGTAAACGTCGTTGAAGGGCGATTGAAGGGCTGGAGCAGCCCCAGAAACGCGAGCTCTGGTGGTGGCCTACCATGGTTGCGCCGACGAAGCTATCGACCATCAAGGCGGCGAAGCTGCTCGGCGTCAAGGTCGGCGAGGCGGACAAGGTCGTGCTCAAGGCGGCCTACAAGAAAGCGGCGCTGCGCGACGCCGCGCCATTCCGCGCGCGCACGACACGAAACACGCACCCATCCCTAGGCGCGCGCACCCGGACAAGGGCGGCGACGAGGCGACGTTCGTCGCCGTCTCCGAGGCCTACGCCGTGCTCCTGAGCGCGCGCGGCCGCACGGTCAGGGCCTCCGACGAGTCGAGCTCGAGCGACGACGAGGCGACGCGCGACACCCTCTCTTCGCGCATCGTCGACCCGCACGCGCTCTTCGCGGCGACCTTCGGCGGCGGGCCGGCGCGCCAGGCCATCGGCGACGACGGCTACGAGCGGGAGATGACGCGGTCGAGCAAGGAGGTCATGGCCGCGTACGACGTCGACGGCTGCGACGCGTGGGACGTGTGGGGGCGATACGAGCGGACGACCGCGGGCCTCCGCTACGAGCACGCCGACGGCTTCGTCCTCGAGCGGCGCCGCGCCGACGCGGCCTGGATCATCCGAAATCCGAGCGGCGAGCTCCTCTACGTCGTCGGCGGCCCGGAGAGCGAGTCGGCGCCCCTGCACGGCTGGGCGCCCGCCAAGGGCGGCGCCGGCGCGCCGCCGCGCGCGCGCTACGTGCGGGACTGCGAGGCGCACGCGCGGCCGGCGACGATCTACGTGCGCCTGTCGCTCTCCGGCGAGCGGAAGCTCGGCCTGCGCCTCGACGCGCTCCTGCGCCTCAGCGCCGTGCCGCCGGGCTCGGAGATCGCGGCGGCCGGCGCGCAAACCGGCTGGACCTGCGTCTTCGCCGGCGGGCGGCGGGTCCGCGCGCCGAACGACGTCAACGCGGCCGTCGCCCGCGGCCGGGACCGCGGCGACGCGCGCGTGCTCCTCGGCTTCCGCGCCGCGGCGGCCGAGGACGCGGCGCCGCCGGCCGTCGCGGCGGACGCGCTCGCCAAGGAGCAGCCGAGGAGCCGCCAGGTCGGCGGCTCCTTCCGCGAGTTCTCGCGCTTCACGCGGCCCTTGCAGCAGGAGGCGGACCGCGCGCGACACGCGGCGAAGGCCGCGGGCGGCGGCGGCGCGGCGGCCGAGGGGGCCGCGGCCGAGGGAGAGACGGCCGAGGGAGAGACGGCCAAGGGAGAGACGGCGGCGGCGGCCGAGGGAGACGCGGCCGCGGCGGCCGAGGGCGAGGCGGCCGAGGGAGAGACGCCCGAGGGAGAGACCGCGGCCGGGGCGCCGCGGCCGAAGCCGCCGCCGCCGCCGAAAGAGGCGTTCGCCGTCCCCGCCTGGGCGGCGGCGCCGGGCGCCGCGCGCGCGCCGCTGACGCCGTCGGCGCTCGCGCTCAGCGCGGCGCCGCGGCCGACGGCGGCCGACCCCGACGCGGAGGTCGCCTTCGGCGTCGTGTCGCGGAAGAACGGCGCGCTCGTGCGGGCCCGCGCGGGCCTCGACTCGAAGAAGGTCGCCGGCGGCGCGCTCGCGTCGGGCGCGTTCGTCGAGGTCGCCGAGGTCGCGACGAACGGCGCGGGCGTCCTCCGCGCGCGCCTCGTGGCGCCCGTGCGGGGCTGGTGCACGGCCAAGTGCGTCGCGCTCCTCGTGCCGCCGCCGCCGGGGCCCGCGGCCGCCGACGCGCCCGCGGCCGAGCCGGAACCCGCGGCCGAGCCGGAGCCCGCGGCCGCCGCGGCCGAGCCCGAGCCGGAGCCCGCGCCGGAGCCTGAGCCCGCGGCCGAGCCGGCGCCGGCGCCCGCGGTCCCCGCCGCCGCGGCGCCGGCCGCGCCGCCGCCCGCGGCCGAGCGCGAGCCGACCGGGGCGGCGGCGCCGTCGACGGGGCCGGCGCCGCCGTCGCCGACGTCGCCGTCGCCGTCCTGCTTCGGGGGCTCCCCGCGCCGCGGCGACGACCGCGGCGACGCCGCGAGCCGGTGGCCCGTCGTCCTCGGCGTGCTCGGCGTGCTCGGCCTCACGACGCTCGCCGGCCTCCGGTCGCGCGCGCGGGGCTAGCGCGCCCTAACGGATCCCCGCGGCCGTCAGCCCGCGCTTACGCCGCGCCGCGCCCGAGCGCCGAGCGCGAGCGCCGCGCGGCACGTCGCCGCCGCCGAGACGGCGAGGATCCCGCCGGCGAGGGCGTAGACCGGGCGCCGCTCGAGGCGCGGCAGCCCGGCGGCCGCGAGCGCGGCGCCCGCGGCGCGCGCGACGCGCGCGAGCGGCGTCGCGGGCGGCGGCGGCGGCGGCGGCGGCGGCGGCGGGCGGAAGCGGTGCGGGAATTTCGCGAGCCCCGGCGGCGCGGGCGCGCGGCAGAGGTCGCGCCAGGGCCGCGACGCGAAGCGGCCGCGGTAGAACTGCGCGTCGAACTTGGCGACGACGTCGACGAGGAAGTCGACGTCCTTCCGCGCCGTCTTCGATGACGCGTGCGCGACGTGCCGGTCCTCGTGTTTCTTCAGGCCGATGAGCACGGGCAGCGCCTGGACCAGCCGGATGCGCTCGTACTTGCCGTAGGCCGCGAAGCGCGCGAGCGCGTCCCAGCGGGCCGAAATATTGTCCTCGCCGCCGTGCCACTCCAAGCACTCGACGGCGCAGTTCGCCGCGTCGGCGCAGCGCTCGAAGTCCGCGGTGACGGGCTCCAATTCCCAGCGCGCGTCCCAGTCCATCTGCACCCGGAGCCCGACGGCGATCGGTATTCGCCGGAGGTAGCTGGAGAACGAGTCGTTGAGGAGGAGCGCGTGGCCGCTCCGCGGCCCCGTCGACGCCTTGAGGCCCTCGAGCATCTTGTAGTGCGGGTCACTCTTGGGCACGAAGATGAGCGGCGTCGTCGTCCACTTCTCCACGCCGCCGCCGCCGCCGTGGTGGTAGAGGTAGCCCGAGACGACCGTCGCGTATGGCTCCCGAAAAAAGGCGACGCGGCGCCGCGGCGCGCCCGGCGGCACGGCGCCGCAGTGGGCCTTGTCGCGGGCCGTCAGCCGGCAGCGCTTCGCCCAGGTCGCCGCCTGGCCGTGGCGCCAGCAGGCGTCGCCGTCGTAGCCAAAAAGGGAACAGGAGATGTTCGACACGTCGCGCGTGTACCACACGCCCGTCTTGTGGTGCGCGTGCAACTCGCGGTAGACGCGCGGCGGCGCGGCCTCCTTCTCCTTGGCCGCCGCCGCCAGCGCGACGACGAGCGCGAGCAAGGGCAGCCTCATGAGGTGCCCATCGTGCAGCTCCGCGCCGAGGTGCACCCAGAAACACTAGTACCTTCGCCAGCAGTATCCACTTCAACAATGGCTCGCGCAGCAAGCAATGGAGCGAGCTATGCCCATTCATGCGTGAGCCTCGCTGCTGAGCTCAACAATTTAGTAAAAGGAAAAACCATGTCGTCGTCGTCGTCGAGCGCCTCGAGCTCCGGCTCCGACGACGACGGCTCGTTGAGCGACGACGACTCGCCGGAGCTCGAGGCCCTGGCGACGCAGGCCGCGACCCTCGCCGCCGTCGACGCGGCGTCCTGGCTCGTCGACGACGCCGCGGCGCGCCTCGCCGCCGAGGCGGCGCGCCGCGCGCGGCGCCGGGCCGCGGCGGTGTTCCTCTGGCGCCTCGCGGCGGCGGTCGCGTGCGCCGTCGCCGCGCCGGTGGCCGCCGAGGCGTTCCGCCGCGAGCGCGGCGCCTGGTCCGCGGCCTGCGCGACGGGCGTCCGGCCCGACGGCCACGCCTGCGACCGCTACGGCCGCGGCGCCGAACCGTTCGCCTGCCCCGGCGCCGTCGTCGCGCCCTTCTCCGTGGCGCCGAGCCGCGTCGGCGACGGCGTGCGGGACTGCTGCGACGGGAGCGACGAGGGCGCCGCGGATCTGGCCGCGTGCGCCGCCGCGGGCCGCCGGCGCGCCGGCGAGCTCGAGGTCCTCGTCGCCGAGAGCGCCGCCGCGGGCCGCGCGCGCGCCGAGCTCGCGGCGCGCGCGGCCGCGGCCGCCGCGGCCGCCGCGACGGACGCGCGGCGCCTCGGCATCCAGCTCGCGCAGCTCCAGCAGCGCGCGCAGCAGGCGACGTCCTACCACGAGGCCATGCAGCTCCAGCAGTACCTCGCCGGCGGCCAGGCCGAGTACGGCCGCCTCGCGGAGGCGGCGACGGCGAGCGCGGACGCGTACGGCGCCGACGGCGCGTGGCTCGGCCTCCGGGGCACCTGCGTCGACTCGCCGCCCTTCTCGGAGAAGCAGACGTTAGGCGGCACGTCCAACGTGCTCCCGCGGACCTACGTGTTCCGGGTGTGCCCCTTCGACAACGTCACGCAGCACGAGCCGTCGCACGGCGCCTGGCGGCGGCGGACCGACGAAGAGGAGGGCATCGCGAAGAAGAAGAAGAAGAAGAAGACCATCCTCGACCTCGTGGACGACGACGAGCCCGAGCCCATCGGCCTGGGCCACTTCAACACCTGGGCGCGGCCCGCGACGGCGTCGGACCTGGGCGCGGCCGCGACGGCGTCCGACGAGCCCTTCGCGTGGCCCGCGACGTTCGAGGACGCCGCGGCCCGCGTCGCGGCCGCCTACGCCGCCTTCGACCTCGATGAGACC